CTGACAAAAATTTTTTTTCCTGACATTTTTCTGACATGCGGCCACCCCGAATTTATTTTATTACTGATTATTAATTACTAATTATTATACAAAAATTTTGAATTTTCAAATTCAGAAAAAAATATTTTTGGAATCTTCAAAAATTCTGCTTTAATATAATTAGTTTTTATAATTAATTAATTAATGTGAATTCAATTAATTACTTAACATTAAATTAATGTTAAATAATTAATTTTTAAAAAAATAAATTAATTAAATTGGTGTTAAATAATTAATTGAATTCACATTAATTAATTAATTAATTAAAAAACTGATCATATTAAAGCAGAATTTCTGAAAATTCTAAAAAAATTTTGTTCTGAATTTGAAAATTAACAATTACTCAATCAAGCATTAGTTTTTAATGTAAAAAGTAATTTTTTTAATAAAAAAATACAAGTTAAAAGATTGATATGAATTTTTTTTTCTCCTTTTCTGTACTTAAAGGCTTTTAGCCTGTTCACGAAATAAAATAAAAGTAAAAAAAAATATCGTCGTTCATTTAAATGTTCGAAACTTTAAGAAATTAATTTTGCCAACACAGTTTTCCAAAGATATCAAATTGAGACAAAAAACGTATCAAAAATATTGCGAAGCAACGTTCTTGATATGTTTTTTGTCTCAATTTGATATCCTTAGAAAAAACTGTGAAAATTTACTACGAATAAAAAAAATTACTATTTTGATAGTAATTTCATTTTAATTTATTAAAATTGATTTAAACAGATTATGTAAGTAAATAAATAATAGTATCAATAAATTAATTAATAACATTAGCATTAATAATAGCAATAATTAATAATAATAAAAAACATTCATCGAAATAAAAATTATGTTGAATAAAATAAAAAAATCTCAATACACTAAAAAGTGAAATTATTTAAACAAAAGTGAAAGAAGAACAATTTTCACACAGTGAAATAATTTCGAAAAGGGTTATTAATATGTAAAAATTATATTAGACTCTGCTGAAAGAATTTTTCTTCTAAATTTCAACCTTATCACAATCGGTTTGTGTTGTGCCTTATCAGTGAGAGTTACAGATAAGCACTATATATACCAGTAAACGTTATAATACTAGCGTTTCTAATGCCTCGAGAGGGTTATATAGAAGAAAGAAAATGATTTAAATGATTACATAAAATGTTTGACTTCCGGTTCTCCTCTATTGCCCAGAGGACACTATACTTTTGTCACACAGACTAAAGAGAGTAAATTGTTGTTTTTTTTGTCCACTGCCTCTGTAATGTTGAAAAAAGAGTGAGCATTTATGTACAAACAATTTCCAGATTTAAACAGAAAATTCTCCAAAAAAATATTCTTTGGAATTATTATTTCAGAATATTCTTTCAAACGCAGCATTAACTTTCGGTTAAATAATAATTAAAATATTTCACAAGAATTTTTTTAGCGACAAGAATATTAAAGAGAATTGGAAACAATTTGAAAAAATGCCTGAATACTAAAAAAACAAAAATAAAGCAGGAATATTTACATCGAGTGTCGACTTTCTAGATGAAAAAAATTGCACCTTACCATCGAGAAAGATATCGTGAAATGAATCATTCTAGACTTGATGAAAACAACCTTATGGAGCAAGAAAACCTTATTCGTTTAAAAAACGTTCGAAGGACGAGAGTTGTAAATCAAATTATTTACTCTTTCAAGGGCTATTAAAGGAAGCAAAAAATGACATCACAAATTCCTCAAGAATTATCACACTTTTCAAGAAGAAAAAAAGAGCAAACAAAATTTTTTTAAATTGCCATAATTTCAAACAAGTAATAGAGAAAAAAAATTCTAAATTCTGCTTTGATAAAAAAATAAAATAAAGATCACAATATTATAGAAAAAAACATTCACGAATTTGTAATCTCAAAGAAAAAAATTCAGCACGTTTTAATTACTTTAGTTTAAAAATAAAATTTCCCGTTAACAAAAATCCTATTCAATTCTATTCTGGTTAATTTTCAATCATTTTTTTTTTTTGACATTTTTTTCCACTCTAAAAGCACATGCTTTACATGTAGACTAATTAGAGAAAATAGATAAAGAACCACGTGTTTCATGCATGCTGGTATTATTTCAATGCAAAGTTCAAACTGGTGACTGACTCCTACATAATAATTATTATAATTTAATTCACTCTGATTGTTCATTTACTCAATCTTGATACAAAATAGATAAAAGAAAGCAACTTAATATTTTACCTATTAATTTCTTTTTTAAAAAACAAAAAACTGATTTTTTGAAAAAAGAAATAAAATACAAAAGTTTCGCCGTGGTAAAAAATTGTTTAAAGTAATTCACCTTCGTTTGTTGGATTTTCCATTTTTTTGTCACTTAGGTAAATAAGCTTTAAATAATCTTTCTTTAAATATTTCTACAAATTTCCAGAAAATTGCCCGGATCTGAGATCGGGGCGTGGAAGACAGCGCCGACCTAACCTAAAAATTGCGAGCACGCTTAGCGACAGGCGGTGTGCTTACGAAAATGAAATGCTAATGGAGAAAAATCTTGTCAAGGGGGGGATAATAAAAATAAAATAGAGAAATATTTAGAAAAACTCACCAGCATGCGGCACAAAACGTTGATTAGCAGCAACTACGGTATTATATTGCGGCGTATGAGTCACGCCGGTTTGATTGACGTTCACGTTGACGACGTGCGATGTTTGATGTAGTTGTTGGGGATGATGTTGCTGCTGATGATGATGGGGCATATGATGATGTTTATTGCCCTTTCCCGGCATGCTCATCGCAGGCGTTTGCCACCTTTCGAGCTGAAATCTTGCCTCCCGGGACTCACTGAGGTCCACATAGAGCCGTGGATTTCTCAAACGGAACTCTTTACATTTACAAATTGCTTTACACCTTCCAAGTCACTAATATTAATCAATTACTAAATTGAACTTGTAGAGAAACGTTTCTTTTTCTTTCAGGCACACTGAGAGCGACAAAAAAAACTTACTTTTTTTTTCTTTTCGAAAGGCGGCAAGAAGACGCGCGCGGTTGTCTATCTCTTTTCAATTTCCACCTTTCCTTTCAATTTCGTATCTTCTGTTTCTGTCTTGCACAATCACCGCCGTCCACTGTTTCCCTCTTGTTTTACACGCCTTCACGCACTCAACACGAAAAGCTCGCACAACGCGGCCTCGCTAATTCTGCAAATGAACAATAGTTAACTGTCATTAGCGGTGGAAATTTTAACAATGTGTCCACGGCTTTTTTTTTCTTCAAAATTTAAAATGAAACCATTAAAATTTTACGTCAAGAAGAAATTAACCGAAGCACGCCTTATGACGGTGGGATTCGTAATTATATATATACATATATATTTCTATCTTCTCTTCTTGTCTAATCTTTTTCCTTCGGCAGTTTTCTTTGTCGCACTAAGCTGCGCAAAAAACCAAAGTAAAAGTCACTGCGCAATGTAGAGGCGCTGCAATCAGCCCTTTGGAAATTTACCCCACCAAATTTATGACCGTATCAACAATTTTTAGAAAGGGGGCTTTAAAGGGGGAATAGCAAAAAATATTTTTTGCTAATTTTGAAGAAAATTTAACAACAAAAAGAAGCTTTTATATAATTTACCCTTCGATTCAATAAAAATTAATGAAAACAAACATTATATTAAATAATAGCTTAATAATGTTGATCTTTCAGTTTCGAAGTATGTATACTTTAGAAACGGATGCAATGACCTGCATACTGTATTTTATAGTCTAGTCAAAGAACCTTGTCCTCAAACACGCAAATTTAATTAAATTACAAATAACAAACGAGAAATTTGAATTAGAACATGATTTTTCACATTTATTTTCAGATAGTTAATTTTACTTTATATTATAAATGTAGTAAATATTTAAAAAATTAAAAAATTTAAGTTAGGTTAGTTAGTAATTTTAAATTATTCCTAAATTTCATAATTAGTTATCTTTGTTAATTAATTTTTTTACAAAAATTAAAAATCCGTTTAGTTGAATCAAAATTTACCATTTTTTAAAATTATTTAAAATTCCTCAATCTTCAAATTATTTTATTTATATTTAAGACAAAATTTTATATGAATTCCAACAGAAGTATCAAATTTTTCAGCCATTTTGATTTTCGCGAGAATAAAAAGACGCAACTGATATATTTTTTTAACCAACGACAACGAAAATTGATGGTTTAAAAATAGGATTAATATTCAACTTGCGATATATTATGGAATACTTTCCAAATTCATTAACACTTTATGTGTATTTAAATCAAAATCATAAAAAAGATAAAAGTTTATATAAGAATTTTTAATGACCAACGGTTTTCCCCCACGTCTTAAATTTATAGGTTAGAAAATTCCAATGATAAATCTTACCACAAAAAAGCAACATATTTCGCTCATAAATAGCAAAGCAATGTACAATTTACTCAAAAACTAGATAATCATTAAAAAATTATGAACAATTTGAATAAAAGAAACACTCTAGAGATGTAGAAACAGAAAAAAAATTTCTGGAGAGACATGTGTTCATTTTCTTTGCGCCAAGATTTCATCACCAACGACAAAAAGTATACCCACTGCTTAAATAGAGGAAATTATTTAATGACTCCCCACAAGAATGCAAACAAGTGAATTAAATCGAACTTTAAGTTTTTCTAAATATCTTTTATATATTTAAACGAAAGATTAGAATAATATTAAATTATTTTTTTCTACAAAAAACTATCACTTTATCAACAAATGCGTTTCCCATCGTGTGATCGCAGCGAAACCATGAAATATTAACATATTATTTATGCATGCAGAAAACTATGATATACGTACATTTTAGCGCAGTGCCTTGTTCGTTGCTTTATTAATGTTTATTAGTACTGAGAATTTATTCACAATAGTCTAAATAATAATACAATAAAAAAATAAATTCAGCAACACGCAAAAAGCATTCAATGATGAATTTCACTTTGCGATTGATGCGCCACTAGGCGGCGGAAATTTGAATTACACACTACCAACCGGTGCATTTCATGCGCATTCAATGTTATTTATTTAAAAACAACAATTAATTTAAATAATTCTAAAAGGAAACTGTAAACTGTAAGTCGAACTATAATCGTTTTTACCATTTTTAATTATTCCCAAAGTAATAATTCTTTCCCTACATTCCCTATAGTTGTAGAAAAATAAATTTTTACGATTTTTACATATAAACATAACCTAGTTTTTATCAATAAAAAAATATTTTCATTATTAAAATTCTGTTATATTTTACTAGACAAGAAATATTTTTTATTAAAAATGGCTTCATATGGAAAAGCTGAAACTGAAAGACTGAGAAAAAATTTAGAAGAGCAACTCGATCGACTTGTACAACAATTAGAAGATTTAGAAAATTGCAGGTAACTTTTCTCGTTAGTAACAAAAAAAAAATATTTACAATCATTAATATTACTAGGTTGAAAATTTTCTGGTATTTTAGGGATGAATTAGAAGATGCTGAATATGAGGAGACTAAAGAAGAAACAATGGAACAATTAAGGGAATTTAATGAAAGTTTACAAAGACTTATATCTGGAGACGTGACTCTTGTCGATGAACTTGGAGCCATGCAAATGGTAAATTTCAATTAATTAACAAATTAAGACTGTAAATTAAATGACAGGGCTCGAAATAGTTCGTGAATTGTTCGATATAATTTGGAAAAATTTAAAGAAATTAGGTACAAATGATTGCAGAAATTAAATTATTTTCAAAAGTAATAAAATTCTTCGCAGAAATTCAATTATGTTCAAAAAATTTTCTTAAATTCTTATCAAAATTTTAATTATCTTTAGGAATAATTAAATTCTTCTCCTAAATTCAATTATTTTCAGGAATTTTAATTAAATTCTTGGCAAAATTTCAATTATTTTCAAAAATTCAATGATTTTTAATATTTACAATTTGAAAAAAAGTTTCCAAATGAATTCAATAATTTAAAAAAATTTAATAAAATTCTATGCAAACCTTTAATTATTTTCAAAGAATAATAAAAATTTCACAATTAATCAATTATTTACAAATTTTTTTTATAAATTTCTTCGCAATCATTCACTTACTTTTCATAAATAATAAAATTTTAACATGTTTTCAATTATTTTCGTAAATAATAAAATTCTTTTTACGAATTCAATTATTTTCATAAATAATAAAACTCATTACAGAATTTCAATTATTTTTAATACAATTTTAATTGAATTTCTCGACAAATTTAATTATTCTTAAAATTTTGAATAAAATTCGTCGAAACAATTCAATTATTTAAAAATTTGTTCATAAAATTCTTTATGAGAATTCAATTTTGAAAAACATTCATTTATTCAATAATTTTTTCATTTTTGTATTTAAATAATTGAATTCTCGAAGAATTTACTTTCAATTTTGAAAAACATTCATTTATTCAATAATTTTTTCATTTTTGTATTTAAATAATTAAATTCTCGAAGAATTTACTTTCAATTGTATTAAAAATAATTGAAATCCAGTGAGGAATTTTATTATTTAGGAAAATAATTGAAGTCTTGCAACGAATTTTTATTACATTTTTTTTAAATAATTGAATTCTTTTGAGAATTTTTATTAAAATAGTAGGTTTTGAAAATATTTGAATTTCAGCGAAGAATTTCATTATTTGTGAAAAGTGATTGAATTCTTGCAAAAAATGTTTGAAAATAATTACATTTTTCGAGGAGAATTCATTTAAAATTGTATTAAACATAATTTAAATGATAGGAAAATTTTTTTTATTTATTTATGATAATAATTGAATTCTTACAATGAATTTTATTACATTTTTTAAAATAATTGAATGATGTGAAAAGTTATGTTAATTTCAAAATAATTGAACTTTGAAATTTTTTTTTTTTTAAAAAGTTTAATGGGATTTTTTTATATTATTTTAAGTTTTTATTTTCTAATATTTATTCAATTGAAGAATTTACGAATAATTGAAATTTCGTAAAATTGAATATTGTAAACAAATGGATTTGAAAATTGTCAAAGAACTTTTTTGAGAATTATTAAAAATAATCGATTTAAAGAAGAATTTTAGTTAAAAAAAACTTGAAAATAATAATTGAATTGATGATTTTATCACTCGGTTATGTTTTATATTCTTTATGAAAAATTTAATTTATAGTTTTAAGTAAAATGTTTTTTTATTTGACTCGAACTGGTTATATTTTTGTCAGTAATTGGTCCGTAATTTTTCATTTTTAATCCGTAAAGCCTGTATTTTAAAATACTTTCACTGGTTCGAGCCCTGAAATGAAAATTTAAAATTAAATGAAATTTAATGCATTTTAAATTAATAAATTAATTAATAATTAATTGTTCATATAGGCAACACAATTGGCAATTAGTTCAGCTTTCAAAACACCCGCAGTGATTCGAATGTTCGGTAAAAGAGAACCGGATCGTTTGAGAAATCGACTCTCCGAAATTGATAGAGAATTAAAAATTGGCAAATTAAGTAAAGACGCAAGTGAAAGAGAACGAGGTGAAGTATTAAGTGCTTTACGACAATTGGGAGAAAAATTAAATCAAGCTGAACTTCAATTACTTGAAAAATTAACACTAAATGGAGTGATAAGCACTAATTTTATTAAAATCAGCGACAGTTTAGACGAAAGTTCAAATTCAAATGAAAAAGAAATAAAAACTTAGATTCGATTTAAGTTCACAATTTTGCTCGTCTTTTGTCACTAAATGCTTTGTAAATAGTAAATTATTGTTTTTTTTTTAAATTATAATAATAAATTATAAATTAAAGTTAAATGATAAATCTGAAAAATAATGAAAAAAATGATTAAACTAAAATTGAAAGAATCGAAAGAAATTACAATTGGAACTAGACTTATTTATTTTTGTCCAATTTTTATAATTTTATTATATATAATTTCTAATTGTAATTATTTGATCCCGTTAGTTTTATTTTTATGACTAAAGCTTTAAATAATAAAGTTTATAAACTTATGATAGAATTAAAGCTTATTTCAATGAATTATTTATTTTATGAATTAAATTCATAATACAAGAGTCTATCTTTTTAATATGAAAATCTTAACGGGCAATTATGTTTATTCTCGAAGACAATTGTAAAATAGAATTAACTAAATATACGTCGATTTAATTACTATACATATATATAATATATAATAGGAACGATAAAAATGCTTTTTTTTTAAGGACTGAAAGTTTCGAGCTGTGCAAATGTCTATTTTCTGTTATGTTTCAATTTACTAGCGCATGAAGAATTTAATGTTATGCATCAATTTTTTTTTAAATCCGAATTATTATTTTTCTATTCATATACTTTCATTGAAAATCCAAATAAAAACTTTGTTTTCAAAGAAAAAACGGATATGTATTTAAAATTAATGAGAATTTTCTTTTTAAAGTTGACTCAAGATAGATAATATATATTAAAGTATTATTTGCAATTTTTAAGGCTTTTTTTTGTACAGAATGCTTGCACTATGTGCAATTTATCACAGCAATTTCTTTCTACTCATTGCTCAGAAATATAAAGAGCACAAACTTCAAGCAGTTTCTTCCTTAATTTAAATAAAATTACAAAAAAAACAAACACAAAAAATAAATGAAATGCATTAACAAGTTCACTGACTTGGCAAATGTTAAAAAAAACAAATCACATCGGACTTTTAATTATAAATATCACGAGTGATAAAAAAAAAAAATTATTATGAATTCTATTGCTAACAAAAACTAAACGTTAAATAAAAGATAAAAGAAAAAAATATAGACGTAATTGGAAATTATTTATAACTTCATTTAACAGAAGTTAAAATATATTGATAAGACATTTATGACTATAGAGAAAAATATATAATATTTAAAGACATAATTATAAATTATAAAGAAATTTTTTTAAAAGAATTTAACTTTTTTTTTTGTTTTAGAAAGAAAGCATTGAAAGCAAATAATTTTTTTATAAGAAAAACTTTTAAACTTTTCTTAGGCTTTTCAAAAATACACTTTGACCAACTAAATACTGTAACTGACAAATGATTTCTTTTCTCAACTTATTTGAATTTTCATAATATATATACGTAATAAATTTAATAAATTTAATAAATATCTAAAAAACATGTTTATCTTCATTTTTTTTTTTGTTAAATTTCCATTCGAAAAAGAGACTCATGACTCCAAATATACGTCAGACTATGTACATTTAAAAAATTTTTTTTTCAAAACTTTTTGAATAATATTAATTAATATCAATTATTAATTAATAAATGTTGTCTAAATATTCTCGTCATTTTTTTTTTTTTTTGTAAATCGACAAGTGTATTTTTTTTGGAGGAGGAAAACCTCGAGTCATTTTTTTTTGGTCAAGTGACTGATTTCTTTTTTTTCGTAATAAAACATTGCCTTTTTATTAAAAGAAAGGCTTGGAAAGCAATTCCGTCATGTCAAGAAGAAATATTTGTGCTTTCAGCGATCTGTTCGACAATGTTGTTGAATTCAATCGTTATCGTTTTCGTCGACATACTCTCTTATGCTCGCGCTGCCAATGAAGTTGCTGGCATTCTGTGCTACAGTAAGCAGTATTCCAACAGCAATGGTAAATTGCTTCGGTCTCGCAATTATAGCACTGTAAAAATTATTTAATTTTACATTTTACTTTCAAATTAAACCAGAATACGAGTCAATTCATTAATCAGGGTTTCCACAAAAAATTAATTTTCTTTTTCCCTGAGTTCCAGACAAAATTTTGACCTTTTCCCTGACCCAAAAGAATATTCTGATTCTTAAATTTAAACCTTTTGAAATTCAATAACTTTAAAGAATATTATTATAAATCAGGTAGATAGCGATCACTCCGAGTCTTCGACTCGGAGTGATCGCTATCTTCCTATTTTATAATAATTTAAATTTCTATAAAAATTTAATTAATAACAAAAAATTAATAAAATCCTTCGCAAGAATTCAATTATTTTTATAATTAATAAAATTTTTCACATCAATTCAATTATTTAGAAAAATGTAATAAAATTCATTGTAAGAATTCAATTACTATCATAAATAATAAAATTTTTCCTAGGATTTAAATTATTTTTAATACAATTTTAAATTAATTCCTCGAAAACTGTAATTATTTTCAAACATTTTTTGCAAGAATTCAATTACATTTCACAAATAATGAAATTCTTCGCTGAAATTCAAATATTTACAAAATCTACTATTTTAATAAAATTTCACAAAAAAATTCAATTATTTCCATAAATAATAAAATTCTTCACAGGATTTCAATTATTTAAACAAAATGTAATAAAATTCATTGCAAGAATTTAATTATTTTCATAGATAATAAAATTCTTCTCAGGATTTCAATTATTTTTAATAAAATTTTAAGTAAATTCTTCGAAAAATGTAATTAATTTAAAAAATTTTATTAAAATTCTTCGAAAGAAATAAACATTATCAATTATTTAAAAATTTTTTATCTGAAATTTATTTTTAAAACAATTTTTATTAGAAAATTTTATGAGAATTCAATTATTTAAATACAAAAATGAAAAAATTATTGAATAAATGAATTTTTTCAAAATTAAATTCTCATAAAGAATTTTATCAACAAATTTTTAAATAATTGAATTTTTTCGACGAATTTTAATAAAAAAATTTAAGAAGAATTACACATTTCGAGAAATTCGGTTAAAATTGTATTAAAAATAATTGAAATTCTATGATCAGTTTTATTATTCATGAAAATAATTGTATTATTGCGAAAAAATTTGTAAATAGTAGAATTTCTGTGAAATGTTTATTATTTATAAAAATAATTGAATTTTAGAGAAGAATTTTATTATTTTTAAAGATATAATTGAAATTTTGACTAGAATTTTTTTTTAATTTTTGAACAAATTTGAATTTTTTACACATTTGTAACTTCTCTAAAATACAATTTTTTTAGTGTTTTTTTACTGAAATTCTTTTATAAATCCATGATTTTTAATAATTAATTAAATATACATATATTCAAAAATAAAATAAAACTATAATTATAAATCCTGCAAATTTAATTTTTTCCAGTACTTTAATAAAAATCCCTGACTTTTCCCTGATTTCCCTGACCTGTGGGAACCCTGTTAATCTCGTTTTAAAAGTCAATTTTTAACAAATTCGAATTGCAGAAATTATTTTACACTATAAAAACGAATTTTTGTTTAAAAATATTTTTTTTATTTATTTTATTTTATCATTTTTTAATGAACTGACTCATATGAAAATAGTCGAAATCAAAATTAAAAGAAACTGGACCCTCGATCTTTGGGGCTAAATTGATGAATTTTCCCAATGACTGAGAGACAATTTTTCCAGTTTGAAAAACCATTTGCTTTTTCATGAATAAAATAATAATATTTTTTTTACGAATTCTTAATAAAATTGTAATTAAAATAAAATGAGTAATAGTTATAAATTTATAATAATATTGAATTATACTAATAAAAATAAAATAAAAAACTTACCCATTGTTTTTTCTTAATTTCGGAAACAAGTTGTTGGTGTCTTTCCTTTAATTGTCGCACTTGCTTCGCATGTTCTGCCTGAAGATTCTCAATTTCTCTGCATTTCTCTTTTTCCATTTCCTGACGAAGTTCCTGTCTCATTTTATCAATCAGTCCATGTTGATCAGAAGTTCTCCGTTCTCTCTTCACCTGAAAATTTCTCTCTCGTTCAGTATTTCCTTTTTTCATTTCAATTAAATAAACAAAAAATTATACAGTAGTTTTTTTTAACTTTGTTTCAATTAATTAAACAAAAAACCGTACAGTATTTCCTATTATAACGTTATTTTAATTAATTAAACAAAATATCGTACAGTACTTTCTATTCTAACATTATTTCAAATAATTAAACAAAAAATTGTTCAGTACTTTCATTTTTAACATTATTTCAATTAATTAAATACAAAATTGTACAACACTTTCCTTTTGCAAAATTATTTGAATTAGTTAAAGAAATAATTAAACAGAAGGGGAAATATAAAAGAAAAAAACAAAAATAAAATTAGTAAAAATTACCTTTCCAGGAAAAACATCAGATTGAACTTGTTCCGTTTGTATTAGAACACATTTTGTCCTTGGTTCCTGAGAACTGGACGTAACCATATCCTCTTGTGAACCCTCTTTTTTCATACCCTGTGGAAAAGTTGTGGAAATTTCACCAGCATTCTCATGAACAACTGGTAAATGCAATTCTGGTGTTTTTTTCTTTATCACTTTTGATGATAAATTATCCTTTTCATCTTTATCCTCCTTTTCTGATTGATCTGAACTACCTTCTGAACTTATTCTCTCAACTTTAACTCTCAAGTCTTTTAAAAGTTGTTTCTTCAATGGAAAGTTTGGTACTTCTTTGGTATTTGATTTCTCCAATTTACGAATTTTTTTCTCTTTCAAATTCATTGAATTTGTATCAGAATTCTTTCTTTTGCCAAGTTTTTGAAGTAAGGCTTGATGGTGTTTTAGTTCATCGTATGCTTTATTCCATGCATTCGATTTTTTAATCTGAAAAAGAAAGTCAACATTTTTATTTAAATGAAAGAAGAAATATTTCTTCAAATAATAATAATAATAATTTCATGGTAAAATAATTTTTTTTGTAAAGAAAACCGAAGAATTGATTTTTGAAAAGAATATTTTTCTTTTTTTGTTATTTGATAGAATAACAAGGATAAAAATATTTAGTGATAATTACCTGAAGACTTTTTAGATTAACATTAATTTGGCGTATGAATTCCTCGCTGATGTTTGCCCTTAAATGTTGCCCACCGAAAAATCTCACATCGTAAACATTACCTTTCAAGATTTGCATGACTTTTGCCGGCCAATATGGATAGCCCTTTTGTTTTGCGTAAACTAATTTATGAGGGGGATTGCAGGGTTTGCAGAACCACATTTTCTCGCCTTTTTCATTTGAAAGTCGATAACAATCAGAACAACGACGTATTTCTTGAAGATCGTAGCAACAATCTTCATACATTCTCAAACCCATTTCTCCAACTATACTCTGCTCTGGAATTTCGAAAAAATTTCTTTCATTTTAAATATTGAAATTAAAACACAAAATTCAACTAATTGAATAGAATAGCATTTAATTAGTAATTTCAAAGTGTCTACTATTTTCGTTCAGCAAAATTCCCGGCTTTGTCCTAATTTTTCCCATCAAATTTAAATTTATTTGATTTCAAACATAAATAAATCTACAAATGTCTTCAAAAATTTGTATTAGAGTTTTTATGAATAATTAAATTCTTTTGACGAGTTTCTTTAAATTTTTTGAAAATAATGTTTTTTTAATAAAAATTCTCAAAAGAATTCAATTATTTAAAAAAAAAATGTAATAAAAATTCGTTGCAAGACTTCAATTATTTTCCTAAATAATAAAATTCCTCACTGGATTTCAACTATTTTATATTAGTTTTATTATTCATGAAAATAATTGAATCTCCATAAAAATTTTATTATTTATGGAAATAAATATTTTTAAATAAATTCTTCGCAAAAATTCAATTATTTTTATAAGTAGGTAATACAATTTTTCACATCAATTCAATTGTTTAGAAAAATGTAATAAAATTCGTTGTAAGAATTTAATTATTATCATAAATAATAAAATTTTTCCTAGGATTTAAATTATTTTTATATTTTAAATGAATTCCTCAAAAAATGTAATTATTTTCAAACATTTTTGCAAGAATTCAATAACATTTCACAAATAATGAAATTCTTCAGTGAAATTCAAATATTTACAAAATCTACTATTTTAATAAAATTTCTCGAAAGAATTCAATTATTTTTAGAAATAATAAAATTCTTTACAGGATTTCAATTATTTAAAAGAAATGTAGTAAATATCGTTGCAAGAATTCAATTGTTTTCCTAAATAATAGAATTCTTCACATGATTTCAATTATTTTTAAAAAATGTAATAAAAGTTCGTTACAAGATTTCAATTATTTTTAATAAAATTTTAAGTAAATTCTTCGAAAAATGTAATTAATTTAAAAAATTTTATTAAAATTCTTCGAAAGAAATAAATAAACAATTATCAATTATTTAAAATTATTTATCTGAAATTCATTTTTTAATACAAAAATTAAAAAATTATTGAATAAATGAATTCTTTTCAAAATTAAATTCTCATAAAGAATTTTATCAACAAATATTTAAATAATTGAATTTTTTCGACGAATTTTAATAAAATTTTCAAGAAGAATTACATTTTTTGAGAAATTCGGTTAAAATTGTATTAAAAACAATTGAAATTCTATGACGAATTTTATTATTCATGAAAATAATTGAATCTTTGTAAAAAATTTTATTATTTATGAAAATAATTGAATTATTGCGAAAAAATTTATAAAAAAAATTGTAAATAGTTGAATTTCTGTGAAATGTTTATTATTTATAAAAAATAATTGCAATTTTGACTAAAATTTTTTTTAATTTTTGAACAAAATTGAATTTTTGCAAATATTTGTAACTTCTGTAAAATACAATTTCTTTAGTGTTTTTAACTAAAATAATGATACTTTTTTATTTCTTATTTATAAAAGTAATTGAATCCTTTCAAAAATTAATTAATTCTTACGAAGAATTTTACTAAAATTTTTGATAATAATAAGCAGTAATAATTAATTATGTACTTAATAAGTAATAAAAATTTAATTTGCGGCAGAAACGAATATCATTTATTTGAATATTTAGAAATTTAAAATTATAAAAATTTAAGATAAGTTCAATAATTCAATTTAATTCAATTATTAATTATGGTGATTACCTTTACTTTGATTATTATCGAAAAATTTAAATAAAATTTTTTTAAAAGAAATTATTTTTAATAGAATGTAAAGAATTTTTAATTATTTCAAAATTTTTAAAATTATTTGTTTATAAAAATTCAATTATCTTGAAACAATAGAAATGAAAAATTTCAAAAATCTTATTTTTCAGAATTCTCAAAAAAACTTTACGAAAATTTAATTTTGCAAAAAAATGTTAAGTATGTATCTTTTTTTAAATTAAAACAAATTAAAAGTAATAAAACTTTTTTTAATTTGGTGAAAAAATCCCCGGTTTGACATAAAATTTCTGGCTTATTCCCGGTCAAACTAAATTCCCGGCTATTTACCGGTTTTCTTGAATTTTCCGGTTAGTAGACACCCTGATTTTCCTTTTTAATTTAAATATTAAAATTACCTCCATGATAAATGACAATATTATGAAGAATATTGTGAGCCTCGGCTTGAAATTCAGCGAGATTTTTATACTCTTTTCGACGTGTCTTCGCATCCATCATTGCAAGGTCCATGTGATTTTTAATTAAAATACCCGGCCTCCATGAATCCTCACCCTCGCTGATCCAAGTTGGACCCGCTAAACCACCAGGAGGTACAACAGGTGAAGTGTTATCTTCAACAATCTGTCGATTTGTGATTTCCGCTGGTAATTTTGCTTTCAAATGTCCACACATGTAGCCTAAAATTTTGTTTAATTCCTCTCTATCAGCAAACGTGTCGCTATTTATTTTCTGAAAAGTAGAAAAAAATGTCATTAATAAAAAAATTTGGCAATGTAAAATAATAAATTTTCTATCATCAATTTTGAATTATAATTAATTAATTATAATTCGTAAAATAATGATTGACAATAAATTTTCTAACTAATAATAATAATAATAATGATAAAAAAAATGAAACGAACTTCACAAAAGGAACAGATTTTTTTCCCCGTATCCTCTGGTTTGTGACATTCTAAATGAAAAACACGATGACATTGCTGACAGCAATCGACTTTTCCAGCTTTATGACATTCGCAACAGTACCAATCGTATGTATCGTTATCAATCGTTTCTGTTGGTAATGATAAAATTGCTTGTTCAGTGCCACATTTTCCAGGCAGTGTTTTTAATAAAAGTCCATCCAATAATGCACTGCTCAATTCATCCTGAGCTGATTGTTCCGAAATTGTATAAACACGTGCCAAATGACGTGCAATTCGATCGTACGTTGGTAAATTTCTTTGGTTCAATGTAATTTTTATTGTGTCCCATATCCGTATTGCTTTCGATGGATCTATTCGACGTCTTATGGACATGACGAATATTCACTGCAAAACAAATAAATAAACTCATTAATTACTCAAATTACACAATAAAATTTCCACAATAAAAAAATGAAATAAAAAAAATAAAACAAAAAAAAATAAAACAAAAAAATAAATAAAACAAAAAAAATAAATAAAATAATAATTTAATAATTAAAAAAAAAAATAAAACTGTAGAAATAAAAAACAAAATTACACAAATGTGATATTTAACTTATTAGTTAAAATTTGCAAAAAAATAATCGAATTGAACTTTTGTAATAAAAATGCAAAAAAGTAACTAACGACTCTAAAGTATAGCTAAATTAGAAATAAAAATAAAAATGATAATTGCACCCTAGCCCCTATTTTAATTTATTTACAGTTACACATTTCCAATAGGTTGCTTCTTATCAGAAACAAAGCCCCCATAAAGAATTCTGCACAGCCAACTTGTAAAACTTTTAAACTAAAAACAGTTGCTGGTCTTTTAATTTCGAACAAACATCAAAACGAACGGTATTCACAATTGATGTTTGAAAAAAATAATTAAAAACAATTTTCTTTAGAAAAAAAAGAGACTAAAACGACCATTAAAAAAATAATTTGAAACCAACATTTGCAATCTAATCTGAAAAATATAAAAACTAATAATTTTGAAAAATGTGAAAAATAATTTGACAAAATGTAAAAAATTTGACAAATTTAAAAAAGTAATTTAAAAAATGTAAAAATTTGACAAATTTAAAAAATAATTTAACAAAATGTAAAAAATTTGACAAATTTCAAAAAAAAAATTTAAGAAATGTAAAAAATTTGACAAATTTAAAAAATAATTTGAGAAATGTAAAAAAATAATGTGAAAGATATAAAAAATATTTGGAAAAATATGGAAAACAGTAGATTTGAAAAAATATTTCAAAAATAAGTGAAAAACTATTTTAAAAAGAAGTGAAAAACTATTTTAAAAATAAGTGAAAAATATCTAAAAATTAAACATAAAAAATATTAAATCGAAAAAACAATTAAAATAAATAATAAAGTAATTCGAAAACTATAGAAAAAAAAATCTGAAAAAGCGGAATAATTTTAATTAGAAAAATTAAATTTAGAACAATTTTTTTGGCAAAAAGTGATTAAAAAAGTGAAAAATTTAAAAAATGTATTCGACAACATTGGGAATTGCGGCCTACGCCCTGTTGGGTTCGAGTTTAACAACATTTTTCTATTTATTCCGTGAAAATATAAAAAAATGCCTGTCATCACCTCATCATTTATTTACAATATCCGACGCACTTAGTTCAATATTTGCGGGATTAATTTTTCTCTTCAATCAATTAAATATGAACACAACTGTTAAGCAAGAAAGTGCCAGTGTTATTAATAACAATACAACAAACTTCAATCCTGAAATTCTTCACATTTTCAAATACTCGAGAGAAGAGGAAAAAACTGACGAAATGGAAAATCCAACGAATTGTGAATTAAACATTATAATGCACTATGGAATGTTTTTTATACCATTCACCAATGCTTTTTTATCACTACTGGGATATTCTCTACACTACATCATGAATATTACCCATCTCGATGGATCTTGCACCGAATCAATTAAAATAATGAAGCAAATCATCAACGAGAAGAAAACAATTCATCAAGACTCAATGGAAAATGAACCAACTGCCGGATCCTCGACTAAAAATTCCGATCTTGAGGAAATAGTTTCAAATGATTTAACACTCAACAACTTGAGAGAAATTAATTTCGATCAATCATCAAAATATAAAATGACAATAATTAATATTCTTATTCAATGGCTCTTGCCACTTTTGATTACAATTATTCTTCATTTTGGAGAATATCCAAAAATGTCAATCGATGAACGAATGGCAACAGAAGACGATTGTATTTTCACCAGCAATTTTCCCTTCGATCATTGCTCTTCACAAGGAAATTTATCTTTTTATTCTGAAATTACTAACATCGAGGAAAATGACTCAATTTTAGAATCGAATATTCACTCTCAGGAAATTGACGCAGTTGTTTCAAATATTTACAAATTGGTCAATGACACTTTAACTGAAAATACGGAAAATTCTACAAGTGTCAATTTTTGGAATGTCACACTTGGGGAAAATAATTTTTCACTCCCAAATATTGAATTTGTCGACGATTGGAAACTATTTGATGACTTAGAGAAAAATCACACTAATTTCCAGCCAGTGGAAACTATCGAATCTGAAACAAATGTAAACAATGAGAATAGTGTTGAAAAAAAAAATTCTGATTTTAATAACATATCGAAAAATGACATCTACGAAGATATAATTAAAAAAATTAAAAATGGAATACAAAAGGTTCGAATCAAGGATAAACGTATAAATAGAAACATCGTTTTACCAAATGACTTTCAATGTTTGAAAAATCAATGTTTAGTGTCAACGAATTTTTTAAAAATTCATCTTTTTATTTTACTGTTCATTGTTTATTTCATTCCAATTTTAGTGTCAACAATAATAAATGTTTGTGTGAGTTATAAATTTCGGCAAATTAAGGAAAAAATAGAAACAAATTGTCAATCTTTGAAAATTTTGACTTTCGACAAAAATGAAGTGAAAAAAAATATTGGTTGGTTTCCAGAAAGTGGAGAAAAAACTTCTCCCAATTTAGAACGTAATTCACCTGTAAAAATTCAAATTATCGAAGATGACTTACTAAAGAGTATTTTAAAAAAATTAGTAACAGAACAAAAATTTAGCAAAATTCTAAAAATCAATTTATTCCTAGCAATTATTTTGTGGACTCCACTATTCATGGAGATTTTATTCAATGTTTTTCTATGCATGAAGATTCCAAATTGGCTAATGGACAGTTCATTTTTAAGTGCAATTTCATTTGCAATTGCAAGAAATTATCTAAATATTAATATAATGAAAACATTAAAAGCCGACGAACGAGCAAAAAAAGAGAATTCCATTCATCCAAGTTCATAAACTCCTGTTTTAAAATATAAAAAAAAATTACCACTTTATCAAATTTCTAATTTCAATAACAAAATCTTATTTTCCAGTGTCTGAAAATAGAAAACTTAAATGAACTTTTAAGGACTGAAAAAATGGGACTTTCAAGTGAAAGTCGTTACGTGTCATTTGTGTCAAAATATAATGTCAAGATTAATATAATAATTAAAATAATTTGTTAGAAATTCAATTTTAAAACAATTAATGATAATTTATTGTTTTAATATGTTAATTTATTTTGGAATTGGATTATTAAAGATTTTTGTAAGATGAGATTGTATAAGGAATTGTAAAACAAACTTACCAAGATTAAAAAACAGTTTGGAAGCAAAAATTTCTTTACAGAAACCTGAAATGGATTGTTAAAATTTCATTGCATCTTTGGAAGAGTAAAATTTTATGTAAATAATTAAAGAAAATTATTATCAGAGTCAATCAAATTGCTGACATCAATTTGTCAAAGATGTGCACGTCACGTCTATCAAAGACATAATTTTTTTTTAAAGCGCCACCTATAAAATTGACAGATGGCGCTTTGATTTTATGGCAATGCGCATGCGCAATCGCGCGAAAATTTGTAACAAATATTATCATGTTAAGTAAATTGAATTATAAAAATTAAAATTAAAATCTAAATCTGTTATTTGTCACCCTGATTCATATTTATATTGTGGAAAATTAATCTACGTCTTCTATTAGTAAAAAGTAATTATATTTTTAAAATTGTATGAACTTTTTTAAAGTCCTTCACTGTTCGATATATCGATTTTGTCAATGTTACCAACTTCAAAAAATATGAAAAATACCACCCACTTTATTATTTTAATTAATAAATTATAATTAATAGAATCAAAAATCGAGAATAAGTTTATGAACTGCTTTAGAAATTGTATGAAAATTAATTTTGTTTCTATTCGAAAGAATTTGATGAACATTTTTTTGAAATTAGACAAACTTTAAGGTTAAAATTCCTGCAGATAATTTCAAAGCACTAGTGAGTTGAAAATGGCGATGGCAAGGTGTTGGGTATCTCATCGTGTATTGCCAATAAATCGGTGATTGTTGTTTGACAAGTGTTAATTAATTAATTATTTAGCTTTAATTGTGTAGAGAAATAAAAATTCAATAAAAGGTAAAGGAAAATTAAAGGAAAATGTCGCTTTTTAATAAGCCAAAACGAAATATTCGTCGACGACATTTCAACGACGATGATGAAGATAATGAGAACAGAATGGAGACAGAAGACGCTCCAATTGTCAGAGTGAAACCAAAGAAGAAGGAAAAACCCAAACAAACGCTCCTGAGCTTTGGAGAGGAGCTTGATGAAGGTATTAGAAAAAGGGCAAAGAGTTTATTCTTCAATTAACATCAACAGTAAATGTTTATAATGATTATAACGTTATAATTGCCAGGGGCAAATAACCTTTTAAATCCTCATGAATTTTCTCTTAAAATTGCAATTAGAAGGAAAATTTTTTTTAAACTTTTGTAGGAATTTACATCCTATGTGTTACTAATGTTGTTACGTAATATTTTAACAATCGCTTCGCTGAATTATCTAGATTATTCTATCTATCATTTATTGGCTTTACTCAGGTGTTAAAAAGAGAAGACATTAAAAATTAATTTCATTTTCTCCATAAAGTTGACTATTTTTATTTATTTATAAAGTAAACAAACAATAAAGGAAAAAGAAAACAAAATTACAAATAGAAAAGTATTTAATATCTGTAAATACAAAATAAAGTAGGTTATATATAAACAATTTCTCATTTATAAATTTCAATTTTTCATTTTATTAAACTAAGTATTAAGTAGTATTTATTTATTATTAAGTAGTAAATTTGAATTTCTAGAATTAATAGTCGAATTGTTTGTTATTTTTATTTAATTGCATATTTATGTTTATAGCCGATGAGGGAGAAGTTTTTAAAGTGAAGAAATCGTCGAGAAGCAAAAAACTGATGAAACTACTTGATCACGAAAGAAAAAAAAAGAAAGGTGAAGAGAAAATGCAAGTGGACTCTGAATCATCGAACATGTCTATTAAGCAGGAAAAAGATTTAGAAATAAAGACAGATGATCTAGTAGTAAGCTATCTCTATGATGTTTTACTAGTATTAATTGTCTGCTATTAATTTCAAGTTACTGGCTTCGAATTTTCGATATTCTCTACATTTTCTGACCCTACGTATAGAAATTAATGAACTATACGTTTCTTTTTTTTCCCAATTTTATTTTTATAAAATAGAAAACATTTTCCCTTTCCCCTTTTTTTAATACTAAATATTCTCAGTTTAGAATTAATTAAAGAATTGATACATTTTATTTTATTTTTAAACCCTGACGCAATTTTTAAATTTTTACCTTAGTTTTGAAATAATTTACTTTTTTTAAAATAAAATCTTTGCTATAAATATTTTTAATATTAGTGTAAAAGAAGGGATTTTTTTCGAGATTTTATTATGAACAGTAGTTGAAAGGATCGTTAAGAAGGATCTATAAATTTTTTCACTTTTAATTCTAACTTTTCTTATTTTTGTTTTATTAGGTAAAAATAAAGAATACTGGTCCATTGATTTTAAATGGAAGGGCCGCATTGGCTGCTGGTAAAGATGACTTTTCGTCAAACGAAGAAGACGAGGAGGAAACGAATGGACATAAATTTCATAGGAACAAAAATTCAGATAAAACAGATAGCATGAAAATGTTTTTAGAAAGTATGTTCAATTTTTTATCTATTTACAATAAAATTTCCATTTTTTTTCAATTCAATTATTTCAATTTATTGGAAATCAAATACAGCATGAAATTTAAATTAAATTAATTAAAATTAATATTAATTTTTAAAAAATAATTCAAATTTTCAGGTGGATGTATTCCTGACGCTGCTATGATTCATGCGGCTCGCAAAAGGAGGCAAAAAGCTCGAGAATTGGGAAGTGATTATATTCCCATTGAGGATCGAAGGTAAGAATTATTCTGAATAGAAAAAATAAATAATTTCCGCCTTTTTTATGCGAATAAAATTGAAAAAAAAATTTATTAAATAATTGTGGAAGAATTTACAAAATATTTATGAGTAAAATTATATTTCAAACAGAGAAAATAAATAAATTATGTTTTAAAATAAAAAAATAAAGAAAATTTTTTTAAAAATATAATTTTTGTTTTTTAAAATTAATAAGAAAATGTAATTTTAATTTTTTGAAATATAATGTAATTGTTTTCGAACTAACAGTGACGAGAAAGGTAAATCGAGATTAATCAGAGAAGAGGATCACGATAGAAGTGATGATGATTCCGAGGAAAGAATTGACATGATGGTGAATATGGAGGCGAGGGACAAGGAAAAGAGGAGAGAAGCCATTTTTGCCTCGCAAGCAAAACAAGATTGTAGGTTTCAATTAATTTCAATTTTGTAACATTTCATTTATTATCTTAACCTTAATTATTTACATTAATTACTAAATTATTCATTCTCTTTGTTTTCTATTGTTCTTGAAACTAATTGTTAATTGTTTAAAATACTTTTAATAGTTTCAGATGATGAGGAAAGTGAACACGGAAATGGAGAAGAGGAATGGGAAGCTCAACAATTTCGGAAAGGTGTGACGGGAGCTCAAGTAGGTTTTATTTTTGCGTTTATTATTTAATTAACTAATTAAATTAATTATTTATATTATTTAATATAATAATTAAAGAATAATTATTGTTGTTGTTCATTTTAGAGGAAAATTAAAAAATTGTCTTTTTTTAATGTTCAGATAGCAGCAGCTCAGCAGGAATCTCTCATACAACAACAGTACAATGCAAATATGAATACGAATCCAATGATTGCACCAGGTGTTCCTTTAGAAATGATAATGATGCCTGCACCACCACCCCCGCCAATAATTCATCCGCCAGATCCAATGAAAACTGTACCCGTCACTCCTGAGGAAGTTTTGAATAAAATGCGAGCAAGGTAACGTTAAATTTAATTTTCTACCTCACAGCTTTTTATTTCTTTAGATCGAGAAATTTTCTCACAACAAAATAAAAAAAAACGAGTCTCCAAAAATTAATCCTATTCAAAAAATATATTTTATAATATACTAGCCAAACTATCCGCGCGCAAGCGCGCGGGAATGTTGTGTGGGGCTGCTTATTTTAAACAATTTAAAAAATTTTAAAGAAATAATTATTATAACCTAACAAAGAGATTTAACTAACTAAAATTCAAATAATTTCACTCAATGGTCTCAATTTAAATAGAATTTACATTACTAGACTTAAACTATGGCTAGAACAATTACAATTAGTATCTGGGTCATCTTTTGCATTGCTTATTTTATAAAGCCATTTTAAATTAAATACTTTTTAAAGAAATAATAATTATTACACACTGAAAAAAGTTTTACTTGAAATAGCGATAAGTTTCTCTAGAATAACGAAAGTATTAATTGAAGCACTGAAAAATTTCGCTACTAAAGTGAAATCTGTAGTTCATCCAGCCAAATATTTTTTGCCGTGCATAACGAAAAAAGAATTAAATTAACATCAGATTTTCTACATTAAAAAAAAACGAATTCAAATAGAAATTAATCATTTTAAAACTTAACCAAATTCACCCCAGAAATCACTGAATTCGATAATTTAGAAGAAAGTCAGACAAAAGCAGGGTTCCTACAGAATCTGTAAATCATGGAAATCATGGAAATGGTATGGAATTTTTAAAAGGCTTCTGGAAATCAGGGAAATCATGGAAAAGGCCTGGAATTTTTAAAAGATTCTAAATTTTTTCAGTTTTCCATTTTTTCTCTTGAATAAAAATTCGAATAATAATGAAGCTGAATCCTATAAGAGAGAGGAAAAAATGTTGAATTTTAAGAAATTCGGATTTTTCAATTTTTTCGAATTTATGATAATTTTAGATTGTTTACCAAAGAGTCGAGCCTATTAAATAAGTAAAGTATTTTCTAAAAGCACAAAAATAATGAAGCTAAATCCTATAAAAGAGAGGAAAAAATGTTGAATTTTAAGAAATTCGCATTTTTGAAATTTTTCGAATTTTTGATAAATTTAGATTTTTTACCAAAGAGTCGAGACTATTAAATAAGTAAAGTATTTTCCAAAAGCACAAAAATAATGAAGCTAAATCCCATAATAGAGAGGAAAAAATGTTGAATTTTAAGAAAATCGAATTTTTGAATTTTTTCGAATTTTTGATAATTTTAGATTGTTTGCCAAAGAGTCGAGACTATTAAATAAGTAAAGTATTTTCTAAAAGCACACAAATAATGAAGCTAAATCCTATAAAAGAGAGGAAAAAATGTTGAATTTTAAGAAATTCGCATTTTTGAAATTTTTCGAATTTTTGATAATTTTAGATTTTTTACCAAAGAGTCGAGACTATTAAATAAGTAAAGTATTTTCCAAAAGCACAAAAATAATGAAGCTAAATCCCATAATAGAGAGGAAAAAATGTTGAATTTTAAGAAAATCGAATTTTTGGAATTTTTGATAATTTTAGATTTTTTACCAAAGAGTCGAGACTATTAAATAAGTAAAGTATTTTCCAAAAGCACAAAAATAATGAAGCTAAATCCTATAAAAGAGAGGAAAAAATGTTGAATTTTAAGAAATTCGCATTTTTGAAATTTTTCGAATTTTTGATAATTTTAGATTTTTTACCAAAGAGTCGAGACTATTAAATAAGTAAAGTATTTTCCAAAAGCACAAAAATAATGAAGCTAAATCCCATAATAGAGAGGAAAAAATGTTGAATTTTAAGAAAATCGAATTTTTGGAATTTTTGGAATTTTTGATAATTTTAGATTTTTTACCAAAGAGTCGAGACTATTAAATAAGTAAAGTATTTTCCAAAAGCACAAAAATAATGAAGCTAAATCCTATAATAGAGAGGAAAAAATGTTGAATTTTAAGAAATTCGGATTTTTGAAATTTTTCGAATTTTTGATAATTTTAGATTTTTTACCAAAGAGTCGAGACTATTAAATAAGTAAAGTATTTTCCAAAAGCACAAAAATAATGAAGCTAAATCCCATAAAAGAGAGGAAAAAATGTTGAATTTTAAGAAATTCGGATTTTTGAAATTTTTCGAATTTTTGATAATTTTAGATTTTTTACCAAAGAGTCGAGACAATTTAATAAGTAAAGTATTTTCCAAAAGCACAAAAATAATGAAGCTAAATCCCATAATAGAGAGGAAAAAATGTTGAATTTTAAGAAATTCGAATTTTTGAATTTTTTTGGAATTTTTGATAATTTTAGATTTTTTACCAAAGAGTCGAGACAATTTAATAAGTAAAGTATTTTTCAAAAGCACAAAAATAATAAAGCTAAATCCCATAATAGAGAGGAAAAAATGTTGAATTTTAAGAAAATCGAATTTTTGAATTTTTTTGGAATTTTTGATAATTTTAGATTTTTTACCAAAGAGTCGAGACTATTAAATAAGTAAAGTATTTTCCAAAAGCACAAAAATAATGAAGCTAAATCCTATAATAGAGAGGAAAAAATGTTGAATTTTAAGAAATTCGGATTTTTGAAATTTTTCGAATTTTTGATAATTTTAGATTTTTTACCAAAGAGTCGAGACTATTAAATAAGTAAAGTATTTTCCAAAAGCACAAAAATAATGAAGCTAAATCCCATAAAAGAGAGGAAAAAATGTTGAATTTTAAGAAATTCGGATTTTTGAAATTTTTCGAATTTTTGATAATTTTAGATTTTTTACCAAAGAGTCGAGACAATTTAATAAGTAAAGTATTTTCCAAAAGCACAAAAATAATGAAGCTAAATCCCATAATAGAAAGGAAAAAATGTTGAATTTTAAGAAAATCGAATTTTTGAATTTTTGATAATTTTTGATAATTTTAGATTTTTTACCAAAGAGTCGAGACTATTAAATAAGTAAAGTATTTTCCAAAAGCACAAAAATAATGAAGCTAAATCCCATAATAGAGAGGAAAAAATGTTGAATTTTAAGAATATCGAATTTTTGGAATTTTTGGAATTTTTGATAATTTTAGATTTTTTACCAAAGAGTCGAGACTATTAAATAAGTAAAGTATTTTCCAAAAGCACAAAAATAATGAAGCTAAATCCTATAATAGAGAGGAAAAAATGTTGAATTTTAAGAAATTCGGATTTTTGAAATTTTTCGAATTTTTGATAATTTTAGATTTTTTACCAAAAAGTCGAGACTATTAAATAAGTAAAGTATTTTCCAAAAGCACAAAAATAATGAAGCTAAATCCCATAAAAGAGAGGAAAAAATGTTGAATTTTAAGAAATTCGGATTTTTGAAATTTTTCGAATTTTTGATAATTTTAGATTTTTTACCAAAGAGTCGAGACAATTTAATAAGTAAAGTATTTTCCAAAAGCACAAAAATAATAAAGCTAAATCCCATAATAGAGAGGAAAAAATGTTGAATTTTAAGAAAATCGAATTTTTGAATTTTTTTGGAATTTTTGATAATTTTAGATTTTTTACCAAAGAGTCGAGACAATTTAATAAGTAAAGTATTTTTCAAAAGCACAAAAATAATAAAGCTAAATCCCATAATAGAGAGGAAAAAATGTTGAATTTTAAGAAAATCGAATTTTTGAATTTTTTTGGAATTTTTGATAATTTTAGATTTTTTACCAAAGAGTCGAGACTATTAAATAAGTAAAGTATTTTCCAAAAGCACAAAAATAATGAAGCTAAATCCTATAATAGAGAGGAAAAAATGTTGAATTTTAAGAAATTCGGATTTTTGAAATTTTTCGAATTTTTGATAATTTTAGATTTTTTACCAAAGAGTCGAGACTATTAAATAAGTAAAGTATTTTCCAAAAGCACAAAAATAATGAAGCTAAATCCCATAATAGAAAGGAAAAAATGTTGAATTTTAAGAAAATCGAATTTTTGAATTTTTGATAATTTTAGATTTTTTACCAAAGAGTCGAGACTATTAAATAAGTAAAGTATTTTCTAAAATCACAAAGATAATGAAGCTAAATCCCATAAAAGAGAGAAAAAAATGTTGAATTTTAAGAAATTCGGATTTTTGAAATTTTTCGAATTTTTGATAATTTTAGATTTTTTACCAAAGAGTCGAGACTATTAAATAAGTAAAGTATTTTCCAAAAGCACAAAAATAATGAAGCTAAATCCCATAAAAGAGAGAAAAAAATGTTGAATTTTAAGAAATTCGGATTTTTGAAATTTTTCGAATTTTTGATAATTTTAGATTTTTTACCAAAGAGTCGAGACAATTTAATAAGTAAAGTATTTTCCAAAAGCACAAAAATAATGAAGCTAAATCCCATAATAGAGAGGAAAAAATGTTGAATTTTAAGAAATTCGGATTTTTGAAATTTTTCGAATTTTTGATAATTTTAGATTTTTTACCAAAGAGTCGAGACTATTAAATAAGTAAAGTATTTTCCAAAAGCACAAAAATAATGAAGCTAAATCCCATAATAGAGAGGAAAAAATGTTGAATTTTAAGAATATCGAATTTTTGGAATTTTTCGAATTTTTGATAATTTTAGATTTTTTACCAAAGATTCGAGACTATTAAATAAGTAAAGTATTTTCCAAAAGCACAAAAATAATGAAGCTAAATCCTATAATAGAGAGGAAAAAATGTTGAATTTTAAGAAATTCGGATTTTTGAAATTTTTCGAATTTTTGATAATTTTAGATTTTTTACCAAAGAGTCGAGACAATTTAATAAGTAAAGTATTTTCCAAAAGCACAAAAATAATAAAGCTAAATCCCATAATAGAGAGGAAAAAATGTTGAATTTTAAGAAAATCGAATTTTTGGAATTTTTCGAATTTTTGATAATTTTAGATTTTTTACCAAAGAGTCGAGACTATTAAATAAGTAAAGTATTTTCTAAAAGCACAAAAATAATGAAGCTAAATCCTATAAAAGAGAGGAAAAAATGTTGAATTTTAAGAAATTCGCATTTTTGAAATTTTTCGAATTTTTGATAATTTTAGATTTTTTACCAAAGAGTCGAGACTATTAAATAAGTAAAGTATTTTCCAAAAGTACAAAAATAATGAAGCTAAATCCCATAATAGAGAGGAAAAAATGTTGAATTTTAAGAAAATCGAATTTTTGAATTTTTTCGAATTTTTGATAATTTTAGATTTTTTACCAAAGAGTCGAGACAATTTAATAAGTAAAGTATTTTCCAAAAGCACAAAAATAATGAAGCTAAATCCCATAAAAGAGAGGAAAAAATGTTGAATTTTAAGAAAATCGAATTTTTGAATTTTTTCGAATTTTTGATAATTTTAGATTTTTTACCAAAGAGTCGAGACAATTTAATAAGTAAAGTATTTTCCAAAAGCACAAAAATAATAAAGCTAAATCCCATAATAGAGAGGAAAAAATGTTGAATTTTAAGAAAATCGAATTTTTGGAATTTTTCGAATTTTTGATAATTTTAGATTTTTTACCAGAAAGTCGAGACTATTAAATAAGTAAAGTATTTTCTAAAAGCACAAAAATAATGAAGCTAAATCCTATAAAAGAGAGGAAAAAATGTTGAATTTTAAGAAATTCGGATTTTTGGAATATTTCGAATTTTTGATAATTTTAGATTTTTTACCAAAGAGTCGAGACTATTAAATAAGTAAAGTATTTTCCAAAAGCACAAAAATAATGAAGCTAAATCCCATAATAGAGAGGAAAAAATGTTGAATTTTAAGAAAATCGAATTTTTGAATTTTTTTGAATTTTTGATAATTTTAGATTTTTTACCAAAGAGTCGAGACAATTTAATAAGTAAAGTATTTTCTAAAAGCACAAAAATAATGAAGCTAAATCCTATAAAAGAGAGGAAAAAATGTTGAATTTTAAGAAATTCGGATTTTTGAAATTTTTCGAATTTTTGATAATTTTAGATTTTTTACCAAAGAGTCGAGACTATTAAATAAGTAAAGTATTTTCCAAAAGCACAAAAATAATGAAGCTAAATCCTATAAAAGAGAGGAAAAAATGTTGAATTTTAAGAAATTCGGATTTTTGAAATTTTTCGAATTTTTGATAATTTTAGATTTTTTACCAAAGAGTCGAGACAATTTAATAAGTAAAGTATTTTCCAAAAGCACAAAAATAATGAAGCTAAATCCCATAATAGAGAGGAAAAAATGTTGAATTTTAAGAAACTCGGATTTTTGAATTTTTGATAATTTTCGATAATTTTAGATTTTTTACCAAAGAGTCGAGACAATTTAATAAGTAAAGTATTTTCCAAAAGCACAAAAATAATGAAGCTAAATCCCATAATAGAGAGGAAAAAATGTTGAATTTTAAGAAATTCGGATTTTTGAATTTTTGATAATTTTCGATAATTTTAGATTTTTTACCAAAGATTTAAGACTATTAAATAAGTAAAGTATTTTCCAAAAGCACAACAATAATGAAGCTAAATCCCATAATAGAGAGGAAAAAATGTTGAATTTTAAGAAAATCGAATTTTTGGAATATTTCGAATTTTTGATAATTTTAGATTTTTTACCAAAGAGTCGAGACTATTAAATAAGTAAAGTATTTTCCAAAAGCACAAAAATAATGAAGCTAAATCCCATAATAGAGAGGAAAAAATGTTGAATTTTAAGAAAATCGAATTTTTGAATTTTTTTGAATTTTTGATAATTTTAGATTTTTTACCAAAGAGTCGAGACAATTTAATAAGTAAAGTATTTTCAACATTAAAAAGTTTGACATTAAAAAATATATAAAAAATGCCAATACTTAACCCACAAAATTTAATTTTCAAAACAAACAAATGAATGCAGATAATTTGCTAACGGTAAGGAAACTTACGATTATTATAATGTATTCTTTAAATATTGTATATATTATAATATATATTTAATTGAATATAGAATATATTATAATATATCAAAATGAGTATCGAACATATTATGATATTGAATAATAATTAATTTAAAAAGTACAAAAAAATAATAGAATTTTAAAATAAAATCAGGGTTGGCACAGGTCAGGGAAATCAAGGAATTTAGAGAAAAGTCAGGGATTTCTATTAAAAGTACTGGAAAAATATGGAAAAATATTTAATTTGCAGGATTCATAATTAATTAATTTATTTAATTTTTTGATATAATTATATTTAATTAATTATTAAAAATCATGGACTTACAGAGGAATTTTAGTTAAAAACACTAAAAAAAATTTAATTTTAGAGAAGTTACAAATATTTGCAGGAATTCAATTATGTTTAAAATTTTTTATAAATTTTCGCCAAAATCTCAATTAGGTATCTTTAAAAATAATAAAATTATTTTTCAAAATTCAATTATTTTCATAAATAATAAAAATTTGACAAGAATTCAACTATTTACAAAATTTTTAATAAATTTCTTAGCAAAAATTCCATTATTTTCATAAATAATACAATTTTTTTTCGCAGATTCAATTATTTTCATAAATAATAAAACTTATCAAAGAATTTCAATTATTTTTAATACAATTTTAACCTAATTCCTTGAAAAATGTAATTATTCTTGAAATTTTTATTAACATTCGTCGAAAAAATTCAATTATTTAAAAATTTGTTGATAAAATTCTTTATGAGAATTCAATTTTGAGAAACATGTATTTATTCATTAATTTTTTCATTTTTGTATTTAAATAATTGAATTTTCATAGAATTTTTTAATAAAAATTGTTTTAAAAATTAATTTCAGATAAATAATTTTAAATAATTGATAATTGTTCATTTATTTCTTTCAAAGAATTTTAATAAAATTTGTTAAATTAATTACATTTTTCGAATAATTTACTTAAAATTTTATTAAAAATAATTGAAATCCTGAGAAGAATTTTATTATCTATTTAGGAAAATAATTGAAGTCTTGCAACGAACTTTTATTACATTTTTTAAAAATAATTGTAATCCTGTGAAGAATTTTATTATTTAGGAAAAAAATTGAATTCTTGCAACGATATTTACTACATTTCTTTTAAATAATTGAAATCCTGTGAAGAATTTTATTATTTATGAAAATAATTGAATTCTTTTGAGAAATTTTATTAAAATAGTTGATTTTGAAAATATTTGAATTTCAGCGTAGAATTTCATTATTTGTGAAATGTAATTGAATTCTTGCAAAAAATTATTGAAAATAATTACATTTTTTTATGAGAATTCGTTTAAAATTGTATTAAAAATTAATTTAAATCATAGTACAATTTTTTTATTTTAGATAATAATTGAATTCTTACAATGAATTTTATTACATTTTTTAAAAATAATTGAATTAATGTGAAAAATTATATTACTTACAAAAATAATTGAATTCTTGCGAAGGATTTTATTAAAATTTTTGTAAATAATTGAATTAAAAAAAAAAAAAAAATATGGGAATTTAAATTATTATATAAAACAGGAAGATAGCGATCACTCCTAGTCGAAGACTCGGAGAGATCGCTATCTTCATGTCTTACAATAAAATTTTAATAAGTTGTTGACTTTCGAAAAGGTTTGAATTTGAAATTTTTGAAAGTCTTAATTCCTATTAAAAAATAATAATGATTAAATATTTATTTTAAATAAAACTATTCATCTTTATGAATAATTTGACAATTTGAGAAATTCGTAAATAAATGTAATAGAACATTTTTTTGAGTGTCTAATAATTTTTACAGTGAATCAGAATATTCTTAAGGCTCAGGGAAAAAGTCAAAGTTTTGTCTGTAAATCAGGGAAAAACAAAATTAATTTTTTGTGGATCAGTGAATCAAGAATATTTTTAAGGCTCAGGGAAAAAGACATAATTTTGTCTGGAAATCAGGGAAAAACAAAATTAATTTTTTGTGGCAACCCTGAAAATGATAAAAAAAATTTTGAAAATGAATTTATTTTGCTTCTTTTTTTCAGATTGGAGAATTTGAAGGAAGTTTATCGACGCCATCAATTGGATCAGGAACAATTAAAAGATGATCTCGTGCAAACGGTGAAGGAATTGGACGATGGAAAAGAACGTGCACCATTGTTAGCACAACGCTTCAATTATTACCAAGAGTTGCGTGGGTATGTCACTGACTTGGTAGAGTGTCTTGATGAGAAGGTGGGTTGATACGCTGTCACGTTTTTTTCTTTCTCTAAGAGCACCAAGGGTTTTCCAATACCACGATCGGCTTCCTTCGATCTCTCTTTCTCTCTATTTTAAAAATTTGTTTCAGTTATTTTCCCCCCTCCCTCATAACTAATTTTTGAAGTCGAAAAAGTAAAAATCAAAACATGACTTTCAAGTTCTTCAAATAGAATTGAAACGGCAATGAAGAAAAATAAAAAAAAAACTAGTCTTATTAGTAAATAAGATCAAAATTGATAATTTTGAATTTAAAGAAAAAATTGAATTTGCCGGGGGTTTCTAATCTTCTCTGTATTAAAAATGTAAATTTTCATTTTACTGTCAAAAATGAAATATGACGAAAATTGTTATGAAATTTTTTCTATCAATGGGTGTAAGTATTGAAAGATAAGCAATGACTTTGGAAGATTGGTTTCAGTATTTATCGAGCGAATTTTAATTCATTGACTTGGAATTTTTAATTTTGTTGTAAATTTATTAATTTGAGTTTAGAACCAAATTTCGAACTATTGTTGATTGATTAATTTGAATTTAGATTAGTTAATTAGTTTTAAAATACTGTTTTCGAATTAATATTCAAATTAATTGCTACGATTCGATCGATTTGAATATATTTAATTTTGCTGCGATACAATTAATTCATGATGAATTATCATTAAACTTCCAAAGACATTGAGTGTTCTTAGCGAAAGTTATTTTAAATTTGATTTTATTTTTTAGCTGCCATTGGTGGTTGGACTGGAGGAACGATGGCTGGATCTCTATGGGAAGAGGGCTTTAGAAATAATGGAAAGACGTCGACAAGATACGAGGGATCAAGCCGAGGAAATCACCACCGCTGCAAGTCAGTTACATTTTCCTCAATCGTACATTTTTATCACTTTTCTTTGGTTCTCAAATTATTTTTTCAATTCAAATTTCGAGAATTTTTTTTTTCTTTAATAAAGAATTTCAAATAATTTTACTATTTGGTTTTGATTTTTTTTTTACTTAGGGGGACAAACAATGAGAAGAGGTCCAGAGGACGATGCTAGAATTCGAAGAGCCACTGAACGAGAGGGAAGACGTGCTCGTCGGAGAAGAGCGAGGGAATTGGCCTCAAATGGACCAAAACACATGGACGGAATGTCGAGTGACGATGAAGTGACAGAACAACAGAATCTCGCTTTTAAACAAGCCAAGGGTAAAGAATGAGAAATTTTTCCCATTTTTCTTGAGACATTATAAAAAACTTCTTTTTTATAATTTATTTTTCTGACTGAAAACTAAGTTTACGAAAATTTAATTATTTTCTATCTTTTTCTTTGCAGAGGAAATTGATGAGGAAACAGAGGATATTTTCTCAGATGTTGTGGACGATTTTTCCACAGTGAAAGGAATACTATCTAAATTAGAAACATGGAAATCAACGGATATTGAGGCGTACTCTGACGCTTATGTTTCCATGTGTATTCCAAAAATGATTTCCCCTTTAATAAGATTACAATTAATTACTTGGAATCCAATAAAGGTAAAGTTTTTAAAATAATAAAATAACAAGAAAATAATAATGTTTAACAATTAAAATTTTTAATTATTTTATTTCGATTATTTTCATTTACACAAGAAAGTAAATTAAAATAAACAAATTTAATTTATTAAAAAATTAATTTAATTTGTGAATAAATTAAGTTAATTTTAATTGTGAATTTTTCTAGGAAAATACCGATTTAGAACGAACGAAATGGTATAATTCATTACTTTTATATTCGTGGGACAGTAAAGAAACTGAAGAATCACTTCGAAAAGATCCAGATGTTCGATTAGTGCCATCAACAATAGAAAAAATTGTAATTCCTAGGTTAACTTGTAAGTTCTTTTTTGTGGAAATTTTTAATTAATAAATTATTTTTATTGTAATTTTAGAAATTGATAAGTGGAATGTTTAATAATTGTTTTTCTTATTTTAGCAATTGTCGAAAAAGTTTGGGATCCAATGTCCACATCTCAAACACTTCGTCTTATAGGAACAATTAAAAGATTAATTAGAGACTATCCAAATCTCAATGATTCAAGTAAACTTTTAGGAACTTTTTTTAATGCAATTTTTGATAAAATTCAATCCGCAGTAGAAAACGATGTCTTCATTCCAATTTTACCGAAGCAGTATGTATTATCGAATATAAAACATTAATAAATATATTTATTTATAAGACTACTGAGTGATAAAGTCAAAAATTAGAATAAAACATTGATTATTTATTGTAATTATTTAAACATTGTTTTTAATTAATTTCTTCATTCAGTTTTTAACCTCTTTAAATCACTTTTTTTTATTCTATTTTATTTGCAGTTATTTTTTAAATTTTTGGCAAATTGAATTATTATTGATGGTAAATTCTTTAAAAAGGAGAAAAAAATCTAATAAATTCTTTTCCTTATTTACAGAGTTTTAGACACTAGACATCAATTTTTTCAAAGACAATTCGCAATGGCTGTTAAACTTCTTCGAAATTTGCTCAGTTGGCAGGGACTTTTGGGTGATACACGACTTAAAAATTTGGCTCTTGGATCACTTTTGAATCGTTATCTTTTAGCTGGATTGAGAGTTTCTCCTCCAACTGATGCACTCACGAAAGCAAATATGGTATTACATTTTTTAATTTATTTATTTTATTATTACAATAATTAATTGAAAAAATACATACTTGAATTATTTCCTGAAGGAAGTATTTCCTTCTTGTATTTAAAATTTATTTATTTTACATATACTTCATTAAATTTAAATTTTGTTAGAAAATATTTTTTTTCTAATTTAGAAAATTAATTCCTTTCTATAAATGTTGAATTTATTTTGTTTTGAATTTTATTCAAGTAATTTTTGAAAATATTTAAATAGAAAGAAATATTCATTTGAACGAAAATATTCTTTGAAAACTTTAAGAAAATTATTAATTATATAATTTATAATATTTATATTGTTATCATTTTATTCTAAAACATTTGCATTCTTTTTTCGGTAGATTATGAGTACGCTCCCTCGAACTTGGCTACAGGGAGAGACAATCGAACATTTAAAAATGTTCGCCAATTTGATTCTTCAATTGAGCGAGCAATTAGATCAAGCGAATCCAGCACATAAGTGAGTTTATTTAGAATCTTATTTATTTTTATTGTCTACCAAAAGTTAACTATTAAGATTTAAAAAGAAAAAGTTCTGCCATCAATTTTTATTTATCAACAATTTTCACAAAACAAAGACTTATAAAAATTCTATTAAAATTTGTAAATTTTCAAATAAACAGAATCAGAGACAAGAAATAATTTTATGGTCAAATTATTTTTTCGATCTCTAGGCTTTTTATTTGGCTTCGTATTTTTTTTTTTTTTTTTTTGTTAATTATTTGACAAGGAAAAAAATTATTTGAATAAATAATTTTCAAATAATATAATTCAAAATATTCAAAATAGTTTTCAAATAAAATTAATTAAATTTTTCTTCTCTATTTCAGTGAAGCCTGGGAATATTCAAAATCAATTATGAAAGTAATCAAGCCATCGTGAATCGTCATTCGTGAATATTTTAAAAAGTGTTTCCTTTTTTCGTGTTTAGAAAAAATTTTCTCCAAAAACATTGAGTGTTTTTTTTTATATTTATTATTGTTTTTTTTCTCCTTTTGCAAAAGAAAAAAGAAACACTACTCTCTTGTAAATGCATATAGCTTTAATAATTAAAAAGAAAAACGTCACATCTTTGTTAGACGAAAAAAATAGATTTTTGTACAGTTTCATGTTTTTGAATAGTGAACTTTTCAAATTATCTATTAAACTTTATTATGTACATAATAACGCAGAAAATAAAAACAGGAATGGGCTAAAAAAAACAGATCTCTTTATTTCTTCTCGATTTTAAAGAATTTTTGGAAAATTTATTTTCAGTTCTTGACAATTATTTTTTAAATACCTACCAAACAAAAAAAGGGAGGAAAAAGAGATAAAATTTCTTTTGGTAGGTAAAAGGTCAAAGATTTTATTTTTATCTTAATCCTACTCCTATTCAATTTTTGTTGAAATCTAAGAATTTTGTCTTTATTTTTCATGTGAGAATTTTCGACAACGACAAAAAAAAAACTTAACGTAAGTTTTTTGTTTACAAAAAGGAGAGAAAAAGAGAGTGAAAGAGAGAGAAAGAGAAGTGCCTAATTTTATGGTTGGATATAAAGAGCGGAAGATTAGACTCACACATTATTTTTGTTGAACGTTGTATATGTGAGCTGAGCCAATGAGATATTAAGAGAGTGTGAGGTCATCTCTTGACTTTTGTGAACCCGCAGTTCAGTTCCGACAGAATCTTCTCCCACACCATGAGATCTCCAGGTACATTATTACCAACATTTTTTTTTTTTTAATCTTAACGCGCTATTTTTTTACCGTCGATCGCTAATTTTAGAATCTCTTCTTAATTTAAACTTGTTTTTTACATTGATAATTATTATCTCCACATGAAACTCCATTCCTAATTAATTGTTCGAGTGTGAAAAAAATCTACTTTAGTGAAAAAGTGACAGAATGTGAATTTTTTTAAAAATAATTTTCAATTATCTGAGATTTAAAGTTTGTCAAATCATTGAAGTGTTAATTTTTGTGATTTTAATTTTTTGTTAATTTAACTATTTAGGTAAAATAAAAATTAAATTCTAAATCAATAATCTAATAAGTACCAAAACTATTATTTAAAATTTTTTGTAAAATTAAATTAGTTATTTCTCTATTTTTTCAACATTTCTATTTTAATATTTTATTTTCATTGTATTGAATAAATTAGCGTCGAAAATATTTTTTTATAAAAATAAATAATTTACTTCGAATAAATGAGCGTTTATTGTTATTTAATATCTAAAAATTCTTCAGTTTTGCTTAGAATAATTTTCATTTTAAATATTCTTCGGGGAAAATTTCTTATTTAAAATCTTTTTTAAAGTTTGGAAATAAAATTTTTTGAATTTTTAATGTTAAATATCAATTTCAGGAGGAATTATTGATATTGAATTGAAATTTTTGAAAAAGAAAATTCTACAAAAAGAAATTTTCTCATAATAGGATTCTAAGTCAAAGTTCAGTTTCATCATATGGAAATAAAGTTTTTATCTGTTTGCTTTAGATGATCTCTTTGACAGGCATCTGTCCCGACACTATGGACGAAGAATTACATTCATTCTTATCTTCCTCTGTGTGACTCGCTCGGAAAGTTTATTTACAAAGGGAAAAATATACACATATTCTTATGAAGCAATTTCAAATACCGGAGTTTTTGTACCCTCGAGGGCCTCATCATCATGGGGTCTTGAAGGAATTTTATCTATTAGAGTCGAGGAAAATTCGGCTCTATTAAAGGTAAAAAGAAAATTTCAATTTTATTCACTGAAATAAATTATTTATTTACAATAATAAATAAAATTATTTATTTACAATAATAAATAAAATTTATTATTTCATGAGAAATAAAAATCACTTATGAGAAATAAAATATTACATTAGAAAAAAATTAATTTTAGCTGGAATCGTTGAAAATAAATTCTTGGAATGGACCAGGAAATGAAAAGGGAGACAATGTCGATGCGAATGGAACGGTGGATGAACTTTTAAAACCATTTAAAATTGATTACAATAAAATGGGATTAATAGAAAATTTCAGTATTGAAACCGAACAAGTTTGGGCGACAAATATCAAAAGAAGCATAGCTGGAGTATTTCAACTCGATTTGGAAAATTTGGAAAAAGAAGTTGCGTTCACTTCGTCGGAGGTAAATTTTCATTTTATATTTCTATTCAACAGTTTTTTGATTTATAAAATAATTGCAATTAAATATCAATATCAACTAAAATTAAATTCGAATTAAAATAAATATTTATAATTCCTTACTAAAATCAAAATTCGAATTAAACTGAAAATTTATAATCAGTTACTAAAATTAAAGTAAATATTTATAATTATACTCTTTTTAATTCTTGAAAGAAGATTTTGATATTGAAATTTAAAAATAATGTGTAACTTTTTATGAATGTGAGAATAATTGGAAATTAAAATTTTTAAATTTAGGTGAATCATTATGGCCAGTGTTCGATTGGATACGTAGTTACAAATGAGTCTTTGAGTGAAAAATTAATTAGAAAAACGGTGGACCCACGAACTTGTAGGGGACATCCGCAAAGAAATTGGAGTAATGTTCCTCGAATGCAATGTCCAAATGACGATCAGGTAAAATTGATTATTTTTTTCCTCCTTTTTTTATTTAAATAAGGAAAAAAACAGAATTTTTGTGCTAAAGATAATTAATAGAATACCAATCAATTATAATTTGTCATTTTTATTTGTTCATTTTTTTTAATTTATAATTTATTTTTATTTATTAATTTATTTTTTTAATTTACAATTTATTTTTACTGATAAATTCATTATTATAAATTTAAACATTTGAGTAAATAAATAAATAATTTCAGAATCCAATTTTAAAGTCAAGTGAAAGATTTTATCAAGTATCTTACAATAACAGTGAAATGACAATAAAATTTATAAATGCAACCGGTGGAATTTACGTGCAACCATTTCAAAGTCTTGGAGAAGCTCAATATATTTTTACACAGTAAGTTATCAAAAACATTTTATTTTTTTCAATTTTTGGGCATGGTTAAAATTTGGTGAAAATTAAACACCTAATTTATTTAGTAATTTAGTGATATAAATTAAATAATTAATAATATTTTTTCATTACAAAGACAACGTTTTCTACTTTTGTCTGTAAAAGACGTGGACCCGACGGGAACGAAAATTCCTTCACTTCAAATAAAACCTCTTCAGCATGAACTTCCTGACGAGGATTTAACACAAGGACGCGGAACTGTCGAAAAAGAAACTGTATATAAAACGGCAAGTATTTTACTTATTCATCTACTATTATTATTTATATTACTATTTCTTTGAATTTTTTTAAAAATAATTTTAACTTACAATAATTATTATTATTGTAATTTCAAAATATAATTTTAATACCTTCAAATTGTAATTGTAATTTTAATAATTTTATTTTTGTAATTTCAATACTCTAAATCGATATATTTTTCTTTCTAAATTAATTTAACAAATTACGTTCTCTCACGATATTCTATCAATAAAAAACTGTGTTTTTTTAAAAATAGATTGCAATTCTTCTCGACCGATTAAGTCAACGATTGGAAAATCCAGGATTGGATACAGAAATTCACAATCTACATAATACAACAATATCGGTTCTTCTCTACTATTTGACAACTTTAAATCGACAAGATTTACAAATCGTTTACAACAACATTTCTGGAACGAGTTATAAAGAAGAAACAGTCAGGTACAAAAAAAAAGTTTAAATTTAATATTTTTTTTACACTTTTCATTAAATATTAAATTCTGAATTCAGTATTTTATTGTCATTCAGTGAAAAAGAAAATTAATAACGGAAATTAATGGGATTTCAATTTCTTCTATAAAAATACATAAATTGAAATTCCACAGAGATTGAATTTCGTAAAGAAAAGAAAGAGTGATAAAGAAAAATAATTCAATTCTCGATTAATTTTAGAAACATGTTTTTGGAAGCTGTGCCACAAATTGGAACATCGGAATCAGCTTTATTTATTTTGGATGTGATTCAACAGAAAAAAGTTTCAGACATTACTGCCATTCAATTATTGAGTAATCTTCCGTTTCATATAAGAAAATTGGAAATTCAATTGCTCGTCAATTTACAGCCATTATTGAATTTTCCCGATAAAATTGCTCCCGAGGTGCAAAACACTGGGATTTTAACTTACGGGACTTTAATTTATAAAACTTGTTTGTCGAATTGTCCATACGAAATGCTCGATGATTACGTTAAACTCTATCTCGACAAATTTACCGGTAATTATTAATTTTTCGATTCTTCTTTTATGGATAAGATTTTTTTTTACAAAAATCATTTTTACAAAAATTATATTATAATTATTTAATAATTTTATTATTATTATTCGCCTACTCTGAATATATAAGAAATAGTTTTCTTTTTCCTTTTGTAGAAAGTTGCAATTTTTATTCCACGTGAAAATTAGTTTGAAATTTAATGATAAATTTTGGATGAAATGTAAAAAGATTGTTTTAATTTAAAATTTTGAATTTTGAATTTTGAATTTCAGAGAGTAAGCAATATGAAAAAAAGATGGTTTGGCTACAAGGATTGGCGAATATTCAATTGGGAAGAATTGTCGAATTTCTCGAGCCAATTGCAAGTGGAAGTAAATCAGAATCAAGACACCTTCGAGTTTCAGCCGCTTGGGCTTCCCTACCAACAGCACCTTTGAGACCTGACGTGGTAATTTTAATATTAATAAAATATATTTATTTAATAATAAATAATTTCTATATTAATAATTGTTGTATTCCGGTAATCTGTTCGCAGTTTGAAATTTTTTGTTGTTTGCTTTTTTGTTTCTTAACTTTTTTAATAATTTTTCTTTTTAAATGTTTAAAAGTTTAAAATTAATTATTTGAAAATAAATGAATTTTCTGACTAATTCAATTATTTTCAATAATTTTAATAAAATTCTTTAGTCAATTTTTAAATAATAAAAATCTTCGTAAAAAATCCAATTATTTTTATATAAATAATAAAATTCTTATCAGGATTTCACTTACTTTCAATACAATTTTAATTAATTTCTTCGAAAATTTCAATTATTTTTAAAAATAATTTAATTTTTCACAGGAGTTTAATTATTTAAAAAGCTTTTAATAAAATCCAATTCATGAATTAGATTATTTTTAAAAATAATGAAATTTTCGCTAGAATTCAATTATTTTCAATACAGTTTTAATTGAATTCTAGGGAAAATTAAATTATTCTTAAACATTTTTTTAAAATTCTTCGAAAGAATTCTATTATTTTCCGAAATATTTAAATTTTTTATGTACTGAAAATCATTGAATTCTTGTAAAGTATTAATAAAAAAATTTGAATATAATTGAATTCATTTCAAGAATTTTATCAACACTTTTTGAAATAATTGAATTGTTTCGAGAAAAAGTACATAATTAAAATTGTATTGAAAATAATTGAATTCTTTGAAAGATTTTTATTAAAATTCTTAAAAATAATGAAGTTTTTTTTATAATTTTTACTGAAAATTTTGAAAATAATTGAATTTCAAGAAGAATTTCTTTTAAGTTTTTAAAATAATCGTGTTTATTATTAATTGCAATTAACAATTTTTCTATTAAAATATATTAAAATTATTCATAGAAACTTAAATTTTTTAAAACAATTTTATTAGAGTTTTTGTAAATAATTACATTTTTTTTTTTGAAGAATTTCATTAAATTTCGTAAAAATAAAGTAATTTTAATTGAAAATTTTGAAAATAATTGAAATTGACAAAGAATTTTATTTAAGACTTTTGAGAACAATTGAATTGTTTAGAAAAATTTTATTACAATTTTTAAAAATAATTGAACCTGTTAGAGAAATTTTATTAAAATTATCTTGAATATAATTGAATTTTTTCCTAGAAATTTAATTAAAATTGTATTGAAAATAAATGAATTTTTTATTAGAACTCTTGAAAATAATTGAATTTAAATAATATTTTTAAAAATAATTATATTCTTTCGAGAAATTTTATTAAAATTGTATTGAAAAGAATTGAATTCCTCCGAAACATTCGATTATTTATGAAAATAATTAAATTCCTTTGTAGAATTTTATTAAATTAAATTAAAATTCTTCTTGTGAAGAATTTTCTTATTTATGAAAATAATTAAATTCTTGTGGAGGATTTTACAATTCATAAAAATAATTGAATTGTTTCGAAGTATTTTATCGGAATTTTTGAAAATAGTTGAATTTTTTGAAGAACTTTTATTAAAAAATTTTGAAAATAATGATTTTTTTTAAAAGAATTTCATCAAAATTGTTGAAAATAATTGAATTTATATTAAAATTCTTGAAAATAATCGAATTTAATTAATATTTGTAAAAATAATTGTATTCTTTCGAGAAATTTTATTAAAATTTATAAGTTACAAATATAAATATCAAAAAAGAAAAAGTACATAAAATAATTAATAATAAACATAAAAATAAATTAATGGTAAAAAATTATAAAAACGATTTCTATCTAAAGTGGACTGAAATTATTTTTTCCTTTTTCAGATTTATCCCGTCTATTGGCCAATATTAATCAATCGAACAGAACATTTAGAATTGAGAATTGCGGCTCTCACTTTACTGATTGTTTCAAATCCATCACCAAGTCGATTGATTTCACTTTATTGGTACATGAAAGGCGAACCTGATATGCACCTCTATAATTTTTTCTACACAACTCTAAAATCTATGGAACGAACGAATTTTCCCTGTTACGTTCACATGTAATATAAAACAGTCATTTTTTTTAAATTAAACCACGTTTGTAATTTTATTTTTTCTATATGTGGATAATAATTTCAAAAAATAATTCTTTTCAGTGGAGGATTAGCCGCACAATTTACTCGAATGTTACCGAAAATCACGAGAAATAAATTCATTGTGACTGGTAATTATCTATTCGACTATCAAGATACGTATAGACATTTTGGTGCAATGATTCATGGAATTATAATTGCCAATCAATTGACGAATATTCCTGAGGTTTTTTATATTAAACTAAATAATCATGGAAGTGGAATTAATTTGAATCATGTTTCGGTGAGTTTGATCTCTTATTTCTATAACTCTCTTTAATTAACAATCTTTTATGAACAATTTTTTTTACACAAATCTTTTTTCAAGTTTCTAATTTATTTTTTTAAAGGAAAATTGAATAACTGATTAAGCAAAAGTTTAAATTTAAAATTTACTGCCTTAGGGGAAAAAAAATTCCGACCTAATTGTTAATTCGGATATAAAATAAAAATTTAATTGTAGTACCAATTTTATAAATTTATTTCAGAACTTTTTAGAATATTATTGAATAAATTAATTTTAAAAATTATTTTCAGTTGTACATTAAAGCGGAAGGGTTTTTGCACACAATGACAACTTATTTGGACAGTCCAACTCGAGTCTCGGATATTTTGAAGGGATTTAAAATCAATAAAAAAAGTCTCACTCCACCACATTTTGAAATTATTGTCAGAGTTCAGGAAAAAGCGGTTCTTTGCTTGCATTTAAATCGAACCTCTTTGATAAAAGCCTTTAAATGTAAGTTAATAATTTATTTAAATTTAAGAAATTCAATTTGTTTGAATTTAAAAATTTTAATCTAAATTTGAAAAAAAGAAACTTAAGGAATTCAATTTATTTGAATTTTTAAATAATTAATTTAAATGAAATCTATTCTAAATCTAATCTAAATTATTAATCTCAAGTAATTTTAATTTAAAAATAAATAATTAGATTAATTAATTTAAAAAAATAAAAGTCGTATTTTAATGAAGTTTCTTTTTAATTTCAGATATAGACTCCCTGCAACAAAGTACATTTCATCTTTATCAAAATATGGAATTTCACATAAATCAACAACGAATTCACGTTCCTCTAATAATGGAATCAGTGCAAGTCACTGATTTAGGGACAAATGCAAGAATTGCCGCCACTGCAAATTCTCTCTTTTCTATGAGGGGAAATTTCACTCATGTTCCCAATTCGCGAAAAAATCATGTTATCGTGAGGTATTATTATAAATTCAAAATTACTTATTTTTAAAATTGATATTTAGTTCATTTAAAATTAATTAATTCAGATTAAACTAAATAATAATCTCTAAGATTTTTTTTCTTTCAATCTCTAGGATTTATTTTTATTTTAATCTTTAGGATTTTTTTTATTATACTTTAAAGTACCAAAAATTTTGTGTCATTGAATAATGAAATATTTTTCTTTAAAGGACAACAATTCATGGAACGCAAGTTATCGAAAATTATAATCCATTGACGGATTTATGGCACGTGGCAGAACGCGCCCAATCAGTTCACGCTTATATGCCAATAAATGTCACATTTGGACTTCAGGATAAATTATTTGTCTCTTATAATACTCTGGAAGGTATGAAAATTTTTATTTCATTTCCCATGTTTGCAATTTTTCTATTTTTCTGATCTTAATTTCCAAAAATACAAGTAAAAAAATCTATATATTTGAACTGAATGTAATTTAGTTCAAATATAATTTATTTCATTGCAAACAATTTTCATTTATTTGCATTTTTGAAAGTTTTTGATTCTCTTAATTTGCAAAATCGTAAGTAAAAAAAATCTATATTTGTACTAAATGTAAATTAAATAATATAATTAATTTAATGTAGGTAATTAATTTAATTTATTTATTAAATTTATGTATTATCACATTGTATAGTGAAAGTCATTTATTTATTGGTTTAAAATAAATAAAAAATAGTGAGATAAATTTTTTAAAATAAATGAAAAAAGTATAAAAAATTTTGTATAAAAAATAATTATAAATAAAATTTCTTGCAGAGGGAGTGAAGACTGGAGTGACAGCCCATGTGCGAACAGTAACGAGCATTCGTGGAGCAAAATTAAACAAGAAATTGAAAAATATTTGTCCCGAATGTACAAGAGAGTTTACAGTGAAGAAAAGTTACACCGATCCAATGAAGGTAATTTGATAATATTCTTTAAGTAATTTAATTTTCACTTTATTTTATTTTATTTTTTTTTGTGTGAAATTTTTGTTATTTTCTCTAAATATAACAGACGTTTCATGTAGACGAAAATTTTGTACGAGGCAAATATTCCTGAATTAGGAGGTCGAATGAAAATTCAAGTGTTTGACTGTGAAAAAATTATATCCAAGGAAAATGTCATTCAGAATGTAATGCTTTCACATCGCAGTAATCATCAGTGAGTATTTACTAAAATTATTGTTTTAGTGCTCGAACCAGTAAAAGTATTTAAAACTACTTTTAAAGTATTTTTCCAATAAGTAATTGGACTTTACGGAACAATTACTGACAAAAATATAACCAGTCCGAATCAAATAAGAGAAATAAGAAATAACTTCAAATTATAAATTAAATTTTCCATAATTGTAAAACATGACCGAGAGATAAAATCATTATCAATTCAATTATTATTTTCAAGAATTTGTAACTAAAATTTTTCTTTAAATCGATTATTTTTAATAATTTTCGAAAAAGTTCTTTGACAATTTTCAAATCCATTTGTTCACAATATTCAATTTTATGAAATTTTAATTATTTGTAAATTCTTCAAATAAATAGAATATTAGAAAATAAAAACTTAAAATAATATAAAAAAAAATTCAATTAAACTTTTTCGAATAAGTTAATTTCAAAATTCAATTATTTCAAAAAATTTACGCTTTATTACTTTTAATATTCAATTTTTATCTAAAATTTTAACTGAAATTCAATTTTTAAATCAATTTTTTTAAAAATTCTACTAGAATCCAATTATTTAAATACAAAAATAAATAATTTGTTGAATTAATTGAATGCTTTCTAATATTGAATTCTCGTAAAGAATTTTATAAACTAAATTTTTAAATAATTGAATTCTTTTGACGAATTCTAGTAAATTGTTAAGAATATTTAATTACATTTTTCGAGCAATTCCATTAAAATTGTATTAAAAATAATTGAAATTCTGCAATGAGTTTTATTATTTATGAAAATATTTGAATTTCTAAAAAGAATTTTACTGTTTTTTAACATAATTACCTAAATTTCTGCGAAGAATTTTATTACTCTTGAAAAATTAAATTTTTTTCTAGTGTTTTTTAACTAAAATTCTTCGAAAATCCATTATTTTTAATAATTTTTGAAAAAAGTTCTTTGAGAATTTTCAAATTCATTTGTTTACAATTCAATTTAACAAAATTTCAATTATTCGGATATTCTTCAATTAAATGTACATAAATAAAAACTTCAAAAAAATTCATGCTTCCGCAGAATTTTTAGTTAAAAGTATGAAAACTTAAAACTTTTAAAAATTTTAATATGAAACCTTTTCAAAATTCAATTATTTTTAAAAATTCACGCTTTTTTGCTTTTAATATTCAATTATTATTTAAAATTTTAACTGATTAAATAATTGAATTTCGGAGAAGAATTTTATTATTTATAAAAACAATTGAAATTTTGACGAGAATTTAAAAAAATTTTTGAACATAATTGAATTTCTGCGAAGAATTTTATTATTTTATTATTTATTTAATTATATTTATTATTTAATTTAATTACTTTATTATTTTATTTTCGAAATTTTTGAAAATAATTGAATTTCGGAGAAGAATTTTATTATTTCTAAAAATAATTGAAATTTTGACGAGAATGTAAAAAAATTTTGAACATAATTAAATTTCTGCGAAGAATTTACTTTATTATTTTATTTTTTACTTAATTACCTATATTTATTATTTAATTTAATTACTTTATTATTTTATTTTCAAAATTTTTGAAAATAATTGAATTTAGGAGAAGAATTTTATTATTTCTAAAAATAATTGAAATTTTGACGAGAATTTTTAAAAACTTTTGAACATAATTGAATTTTTGCGAAGAATTTTATTACTTTTGAAAATAATTGAATTTCTGCAATTATTTGTAATTTCTATAAAATTCTCAAAATTATATCGTAAAATTTACGAACTTTTCGCCCTTTTCTATCAAATTACGGACATTACCGACCTTTTTTCAAAAAACCAGACTTTTACGGACTTGAAGCAAATTTACGGATTTTTACGGGATTTATTTATTTTAGTTCGAGCCCTGCTGTTTATAACTAATAATTTCTACTATTATTAATAATTATTAATTAATTAAATAAAATTTAGTTTCTATTAAAAATTAAAAATTAAATTGCAGAAAATCACCAATTATGCAATTCATTTTGATGGGAATACATTACATTGATTATTTTTCGTACGTCCCTCCCAGAGGTAGTTGCGGAATTTCAGGCCATTTTGAACCTTCAAGTCTACTTTCTACTGAGGTGATTTAATAAATTAAATAAAATTTGTGCTCGAGTGTTTATTATTTAATATTAAATAAAACTCAGACGAGTGTTTATTATTTAATATTAAATAAAATTTAGACGAGTATTCATTAATCTATTGTTCAATATTAAACTAAATTTTATTTTTCAGGTAAAAATTGAATACTCCAGAAGTGATAAATATCATTTAGTTTCATTGAAACACAAAGATTTGAGTTCATCAAAAATTCTTCATCAATGGGACATGAAACTTGTTTATGATAGTACAAGTTGGATTTCAGATTCACTAAAAATAAAAGCCAGTAGAACTACACCCGGTGAAAAAGTTCTAAAGGTAAGAAATTTAATTGTAATAGTTATTTTCGTAACAAGGGCGCAAAATAGGTGATTGCGACGATGGCGAAATGAAGGGACCGAGGGGACACAATTTCGCGCCCGAGGCGAAGCCGAGGGAGCGAAAGTGTCCCCGAGGTCCCGAAATTTCGCCAAAGTCGTAATCACCTTTGCGCCCATGATGCGAACATAATTTTTTGTCCTAACTGCATGGAAAGTATGGCATTGAGGGCACGCACGATTAAACTCTCATATTAGTTAAAAATTAAGCTCTATATAAATATTATATCGAATGAAGTCTCTAATGATAGAAGTTTTAAAATAGAAATAAAAAACAATGTATTCTGGAAACATAGTATTTATTTAGAACGTAGTAATTAATAATTGAACAAAACTGAAACAGGAACTTTTAAAATTGACAATATTTTGATAAACGAAATGGAAACAAAACCAAATATCTCATTATTTTTTTTAGAGAAAAAAAAAATTGCAAATTTTTATAGACAAAATAAAACAAGTTGAAAATGTTTGCAGTTTTATAGTCAACATAAAAAGAAAGTCGAAAATGTCGCATTTTAATGAAGAAAATCAAATAATTAACAAGCGGGCGGTAAAGTATTTTCCGCCCGCTCGGAGGTAGGGGAAGCGGGCGGAAAATACTTTACCGCCCGCTGACGTCATACAAGCGGGCGCAAAATACTTTTCCGCCCGCTTCCTCCACTCCCGGGCGTAATGTGTTATTTTGCGCCCGCCTTAAGTGCCCGAAATGACATACTTTTCGTGCAGGTAGGACAAAAAATATATTTTTGAATTTAAAACGTTAAATATGGATAAAAGAAATATGAATTAATAGAAAAGAATTTATAAAATAAGTGGGAATAAAAAAAAGTAATTTTTTTCCGTTAATTTAGATTTGCTTCGATGGAGAAAGAGAGGTGCCATGGGAATGGAATTTTTTGAGTACAAACGCAAGTAATCCGTCGTCAATAAAAATGAATGTTGTTTGGGGCTATGGAGATTCGGCGAAAGGAAAATGCACCGGTTCTTCATTACTATTAAAATTATCAGGAGAAGTAAGTCGTGAGCAATCATTCTCCAGTTTAGAGGATAAATGGCCATTTAATGTTTGTCGAAAGGAAACGGAGGGAAAACATTTTGTACCCTATACACAAGCTTGTTACGAAACATCGAGGGAGTTATCGACTTTGAGAAATTATCAAGCAAATGTTAAATTTGAAAATGTAAGTTTTAAATAATTTTCCCTATTAAGAATCGTATTAGAGTATAAAAATTCCAAAAATACACAATTCAAAAATTTTGAAATTTCAAGATTCAAGATCGAAAAAAATTTTCCAAAAGTTCTTTAAAGACTTTTTTTCCAAATTTTTGACACGATTTGAATGTAAAATATCAATTGGCACAAAGAAAAAAAAAGGAAAAAAAACTCGCAGAAATGCGAGGTATTATTTTTTTGTAACATCTTCTTTGCAGTTACCTGAAAATTTATTAAAGGTTGGATGGCGAATACGAGCTTTTTACGATTTTATCGGAGGTAACAGTAGCAGTTTAGATTGGGATAAAACTAATGAATTTTCAATAAAAGCAAAATTCCCGGCAAATTCCGACGAAGGTGAATTACGTTTAAATAATGACAAAATCGATATTGATTATAATGCCGATATTATTGATTATTTTCTGGTGAGAACAAGACTTCATAAATTCACCGACAATCCACTTCTTCGTTCTTTCTTCAGTAAGTCTATTTTTTTTTCAAAGAAAATTTTAATTTTTACTACAGTTTATGAAAATATTTTGAATGAAAAATATTTTCTTTTCTAAATATAAATTTATTTATTTCAGGTACGTGTATTTTAAATATGAACATGGTAAGTTCTTCTTACAATATTAGCAATAAACTTGAAAAAAATCAGGAAATGCTAATTTTGGGTCATTGTTACGACGAATATCCGAGACTCACAATATCAGCAATAAATACCGGCAATGATATTAATTTAATTGTAAACGACGAATCGGACGATTTAAAAATAAAGTCATTTAAAATGGGAGGCGCTTTGTACAATCACACGTATCCATTAAAAATTGACAGGAATTATCAATTTGTCTCTCTCGGAGCAAAATGGTAAGTTAATTTAATTTTCCATTACTTAGAGGACTAATTTTGTTTAATTTCCAAAAAATAATATTTTTCAACTTAATTGAAAATTAAAATTAAAAATACTATTAATATTAATTGAAAATTAAAAATACTATTAATATTAATTGAAAATTAACTATTTAAAATGAATTGAAAATGAATTATTTAAACTGAATTGAAAAGTAATTATTTAAAATGAATTGAAAATTAATTAATTGCAATAATTTCATTTTCACAGGGCGAGATTGGACGATAAGTTGGTTGATATTTTATTATCGGAATTTCAAATATTTATACGCTGGACACAAGAGCATGTCTTATTGTTCTATCCAAATTTCATTCAAGAATTCACTTGCGGCCTTTGCACTGCTCATCAACCAAATACTCAAGATTTATATAAAAGAATTTTGAATTAGTTCTTAAAATTTTTTTTATAAATTAAAGGTATTTTTTTTAAATGGTAAACTTTGTACTTTTATATTTATAAATAGCATAATTGTAAGAAATAATTATAATTATTGAAAAAAAGAAGAAAATATTTCAGTTTGAAAAAAAAAATAATTCGAGAAATACTGTAAAGAAAATATATTTTCTTTTTTTTTTAAAGTAAAAAAGCCCCTGTAAAACATGTTTCGTGTATCATTTTTAAATATACAATAAACATAATTTATACTTTGTATTTATAGGACTTAATAAATTTATTATTAATTAAAAATTAAGAAAAGAATTATCCTTTCTTAAAAGTTTGAATGAAAATAATCTATTATTATTATTAACTATATTAATCTCTGTGGTTTTTCATTCGTTCTGTTCGCAGTATGAAGTTGGTTGTTAGTTACTTTTTTGTTTCCCAACTTTTTTAATTATTTTCTTTTTCAATATTTTTTATTATTTCCATTAAAATTAATGTATTGAAAATCATTGAATTCTTGCAAAAAATTTCAGAATAATTCAATTCCTTCAAAAAATTTTATTATTCAGTAATTAAATTCTCGCAAAGAATTATTAAATTAAAATTAAAAAAATGTTTAAAACCCTAATTAAATTTCTTTGAAGAATTATTTTCAATTTTTTTTTTTTTTTTTTTTTTTTTTGAATAATTGAATTTCTTTAATAATTTTAATTGGAATTTTTTAAAGTGATTAAAATTTATTAACAATTTCTTTCAAGGAATTTCATTAAAATAATTGGAAAACAATTAAAGTAATTGAATTCTAACAAAAAATTCCTTTATTTATTGAGTATAATCAATTTACAATTAAACTTTTATTAAAATTATTCATTGAAAATTAAATTCTTTTATATAATTTTATTAGAATTTTTCTAAATAATTACATTTTTTTGGAGAATCTCTATAAAATCTTTTATAAAAAAAATGTAATTTTTCTAAAATAATTTTAAATGAAAATTTTCAAAATAAATGAATTAAAGAAACAATTTTTTTCAACTTTTTAAAATTATTGTGTCAGGTAATAATTATAATTAAATATTTGATCATTCACAAGTTTACTAAAACTGTATTTTGAAAATAACTGAATTCCTGAGAAGAATTTTATTAATTTTCGAAAGTAATTGAGTTATTTGAATGAATTTTATTAAAAATTTTAAAAAATTGAATTGTTTTGAAGGATTTATTGAAATTGTAAAAAATAATTCTATTTCTTTCGAGAAATATTATAAAAGTTTTTAAAAAAATTGAATTCATTCATGAAATTATATTAAAATTTTATTAAAAAATATTGCGAACTTTTGCAAAAAAAAATTACTTTAAAATTTTAGAAAAAAATTTGATTATTTCGAAAAATTGTATGAAAACATAAAACAATTCATTTTTCTTTTTCAATATTTTTATAATTTTAAAATTAATGTATTCAAAATCATTGAATTCTTGCAAATATTTTAGAATAATTTTACAGATTTTAGAAAAATAATTGAATTTTGAGCAAATAATTTAATTCTTACGAATAATTTTACTAATTTTAGAAAATAATTGAAATATTTCGAAAAAATTTCTATAATTATTTATTTATTCATTTTTTTATTTTTACAATTAATTGAATTTCTGTGAAGATTTTACTAATTTTTTTTATTCAAGAATTCAATTACATTTTCACAAATATAATAAATTTCCTGGAAAGAATTCAATTATTTTCAACAATTAATAAAATTCCTCACAAAAATACAATTATTTTCTAAAATTAATAAAATTCTTCACAGGAATTCAATTATTTTCAAATATTAATAAAATTCTTTCCAGGAATTCAATAAACTTTGAAAATCAATAAAATTATTTACGTAAATTTAATTATTTTCAAATATTAATAAAATTCTTTAAAGGAATAGGGTCATTTGGGGTAATAATGTAAACGGAATATCTATTTTTCACAAAAAACGTTAGTTTTTTTTTGTTAAAAGGTAAAACGGACGGATTTCTTTTGCATGAACTTGTTACTTTACTTCCCTAGAAAAATTTTATGAGGTACAAAAAAATATTGATGCACCTGAATCGCCTAAAACTGAATGTTTACATTTACCCCGAGATGTTGAAATTTTCCTAAAATTCGGGGCAAATGTAAACACCTCTGTAGTTAAGCGAGGTTTAAGAAACAAGTTATTTCAAGCATACACTGTAAAAAAAATTTTGGAAATTTTCCCAAAAAAATTGAGGAAGCAAATTCACATAAAAAGTATAAAAATTTCCCACAATTTGGAAAAATTCCTTTAAAGATTTAGGAAAATTCCTAAAAATTTGTAAATATTCCTTAAAACGTTTAGAAAAATCCCTTTCCCAACAGAATTTAGAAAAATTTCAATTCGTATCGAAAAATTTCCAAACACTCAGAAAAATTACCATTTTTTTGGGAAAAAATTTTTTCTAAACACGTTTTAGGAAAATTCCCATGCAAAAGTTTGGAAAAATTTCCGAAATTTTTTACAGTGTACTACTGTCTTAAGGGATGGAAAAACTGAAAACAAATTATTCGTAGACGTATAGTAAATCAACCAGTTGACTGATAATGTATCTTATAAAAAACAATCAACCATTACGAAATTAGTAATGTAAAAACTTGAATAACTTAAACAAATTTTAATAGATTTTCATTCAACTTGGTAAAAAGTTTTTTTTATTTTTCTGAATAAGAATTCGAGTTTTCGAATTCTCGGGGTAAATGTAAACACTTAATTATTTATTAATTAAATTGACGAAAATCAAAAATCAAAGTCAATTTTTGATAGGGCATTAATAAGGAAGAATTACATATTTTTGTTAGATTTTTTAATTTATTTTTATGTTATCTTTTAATGCAAAAACGATTAAAAATCAAAGTTTTACTGTTTCAGTTTTTTTTTTCTCGCATTTGCATAAAAATAAATTAAAAAATCAAACTAAAATTTGTAATTCTTCCTTATTAATGCCTTAACAAAAATTGACTTTGATTTTCGTCAATTCAGTTAATAAATAATTAAGAGTTTACATTTAATTGAATAAATTACTATTTAAATGTATTTGAAACATTATGATGTCATAATAATTAAAATTCATTTAAAAAAATAAAATTTTAATTATTTTAAATAAAACGTTGAAATAAAAATGCACGCGCGCTCGCGCGCGTCCTTTTTTGCTATTATTCCATATAAAATGTCAAATTCGACCCCGTTGCGTTAGTTAAATATTTTGTCACCAGATGGTGTATCGCAGTTCTGCGGTTCCTTATAGCTTTTCAAAAATTAAATTATTCAAAAAAAATTCAATTTTAAATCTGTAAAGTTCATTTATTGTTAAAAATATAAATAATTAAAAAAGTGTATTATTCAACAATGCATTTAGAACATGCACGCGCGCTTGCGCGCGTATCTTATGCTAGTTTTATTAATAATCGTTGTATTCCGGTAATCTGTTCGCAGTTTGAAGTTAGTTGTTGTTTGCTTTTTTCTTTCCAAACTTTTTTAATAACTTTTCTTTTTAAATATTTTCAATTTTAAAATTAATCTATTGAAAACCATTGAATTCTTGTAATGAATTTTATCAAAAAATTTGTGAATAATAGAATTACTTCGAAGAATTTTATTATTTATGAAAATAATTGAATTCTCGCGAAGGATTTTATTAAAATTTTTAAAAATCCTAATTAAATTCTTTTGAAGAGTTTCTTTGAATTTTCGTTAAAATAATGGAATTTCTTTAATAATTCCAATTAAAAATTTTGAAAGTAACTGAATTTTATAAACAATTTTTTCCCGTTTGTAAAAATAATCCTGTTTTATAATAATTAAAATTAAAGATTTAATTATTGAATTTTATTAAAATTTTTAAAAAATAATAAAATTCTTCTTAGAATTTTATTATAATTTTCTAAAATAATTTAATTAATTCCAGGAATTTTATTAAAATATATAGAAAAAAATTAAATTCTATCAAAAAATATCTTTAAATTATTGAATATAATCGATTTTGTTAATAAATGTAATTAATAACTTCACTTTTTAAATTTTTTTAAAAATATTTATTGAAAGTTAAACTTCTTTAAACAATTTTATTAGATTTTTTGTAAATAATTAAATTCTTTTGAAAAATTTTTTGAAGTTTTTTTGAAACTAGTACAGTTACAGTATTTTTTCAAAATAATTGATTTTTGCAAAGAATTTTACTATTTATAAAAATAGTTGAATTGTTTTGAAAAATTTATTATAATTTTAGAAAATAACTGAATTCTTTTGTGAAATTTTATCGAAAATAATTAATTTTTGCAAAGATTTTACTAAATTTATAAAAATAATTGAACTGTTTCAAAGGATTTATTATAATTTTAGAAAATAATTCAATTATTTCGTGAAATTTTATTGAAAATAATTAATTTTTACAAAGATTTTACTATTTAAAGAAATAATTGAATTGTTTTGATCAATTTATAAAAATTTTAGAAAGTAATTGAATTTTTTCAAGAAATTTTATTAAATTTTTGTTAAAAACAATTAGATTTCTGCAAAAAATTTTACTATTTATAAAAATAATTGAATTATTTCGAAGGATTTATTGAAATTTTAGAAAAATAATTGAATTTATAAGGAAATTTTTATAGCGAGTTAACTAAAAAATTGAATTCTTTCGTGAAAATTTTATGGAAAATAATTCAATTGTTTTGAAGGATTTATAAAAATTTCAGAAAATAATTGAATTCTTTCGTGAAATTCTATCAAAAATTTTGTTGAAAATAATTGAATTGCTTTCAAGGATTTATTATAATTTTAGAAAATAATTGAATTCTATTGGAAATTTTTAAAACGAATTAAGAAAAAAATTGAATTCTTTCGTGAATTTGCAAAGATTTGTTTATATAAAGAAATAATTGAATTCTCTCGAGAAAATTTTGTTAAAAATAATTGAATTTTTGTAAAAATTTTTACTATTTACAAAAATTCTTGCAAAATTTCTTGCAAAGAAATTGTAATTTTTGAAGATATAAACAATAATTAATTATGTACTCAATAAATGAATTTTTTAAATTCTGATTATGAAATTATTTAAAAATTTGTATTTGGAAATAAAAAAATGTTGCCATTTTCATAATAATAATAAATCGAATACCACGTTCCGCGCGCGTAACATTTGCTAGTTTAAATAAATAATTTTCATATGTGTTAAATATTAATCTGAAAGTTTTGTAAAAAACTAAATTTTTTCAAATGTTCAATTGACTATTCTTTATTTCTAACTAATATTTTTTATTTTTGAACAAGAAAGTTATTACGAAAAAATACTTTTATTACATTACAAAACAAATAAACAATACAAAATTTTTTTTACTATACCTTAAAAATACTTCTTTCTGAGCTCCTTAAATTATTATCAGTCACAGCTCAATTTTTGTACTCGCAAAAATTCTTATCCGACACAGGAATCCAAATGTTTATTCATTTCACCTTGTGGTATGAGAGTCAAACAAACGGGACAGGGGAATCGATTTTTTTTCTCCTCATCACTTGATTCTTCATCCGATGTTGAATCATCGATTTCAATTAAATCGTTTGCTTTCACATTTTTAGAATCATTAATTTTCTCCTCTTGTTCGGTGAAAGAATCATCAGCGTTGAACATGCCCTTTAAACAATCATCCAAATGTTGCGTCAAAGGAACATCGGGATCCAGAATTTTATTACAAATCAAACATTTCTCGGCTGTTTCCTTTTTAACATCTACGTGAACTTTATTTTTGTCTATATTTCCACTATTATCTACTTTAGAAGGACCAGCTTCATTTATATCATCAATTTCAATTAAGCATTCATCTAAATGACGATTCATTTCGTCGATTTTAATGTCCTTTTTACAAACGGGACAATTTGCTGTGTTTTTCGTTTCTTTTTTCACTGAATTGTTGAAAAAATCGGAAATTTTCCGCTTCTTTGCGGGTGTACTTTCAAAATCGCTATCTGAATCGTTGATTACAATTGGCGAGGGATTTTTATCGTCGTTTTCTGTCAAACATGTGTCAATGTGTTCGGTTATTTTTGAAAGGGAAAATTCTTTGTTACACACCGGACAGTTGGCAAATTTATTTCCATTTTGAGTAATTTTTGTAGATTTGGAATTATTCTCGGGTGTTGAATTCATGAGTGGCGGTTTCATTTCCTTTTTGTGAACGAGACACGAATCGATATGTTCGTTGGCGATTTTCTCTAGAATCAAATCTTTGCATATTGGACATCGTACTGTTTTTGGACTAAAAGTACCATCGTTTGATTCTTTCTTCTCGTTGTTATTTTCCTTCGACGAAGATTGAGGTGAATCGAATAATTGTAATAAACGACTTCGCCCAGAGCCGGAACCACCCAAAGTTCCGGTGAATGAAACTTTATTCGCCGACGAAGTGGTTGCTGAGGATGACGAACCCGATGAAGAACCAGGACCGCCGGTGCCGAAACCGTGAACATTATTCGTTGTATTGCCAAGTTTTGAAATTCCCGGTTCGTTGGAATTTGCATTTGCGTTCCATTTATTCACCGTGTAGACTGAAGAACCGCCTTTTGTTTTCAAACCAGTTCCTGTTCCTGTTTTTGAAAAATTACCGTTCTTTTTACCCGTTTCGTTTTTGTCAGCCTTTGATTTATTTCCCCCTTTAATTTGCGGTTTTTGTGAATTATTCGATGGCAATTTACCTTTTGATTTATTGTCCGGTGTTAACCATTTGTCTAAATTTGGATTCTTTGAATCGTCTTTGGCCTTTTTTCCTTTCTTTCCGACTTTCTCTGGTTCTCGAACTTTTATAAATTGACCGCCGCATGATGATTGATGCTCCTTAAACCAAAAATCATTGGGTCCTGGTGCACGATTCATTGATCGACGAACCATACCGAAAAATGGATGTTTCTTTTGACAGGGGCCATTGCATCGCCACCAGTGTTGTTGGTAAAGTTTTACTTCCGCATGAAAAGTGTGGTAAACCTGAAAGAAAAATTCGATTTCATTTTTTTTTTTCTTTAAAAATACTTTCTTTAAAACTGTCCCATTGTGAATAATTTAAAATTAAATTAACGCTTACTTCTAATTCTAATTAAATGAATTAAAATAATTATTTTATTCTTAATTTTACCAAACTCCCTGATTTTCAGACAAAACGACTTTTTTCCTGTTCTATTAAATTTATTTACGAATTTCTTTAATTGTAAAATTACTCAAAAACATCAATAATTTCGTTTTTAAATGAATATTTAATCATTATTATTTTTTTACAGAAATTAAAGTTTTCAACAATTTTAAATTCCACTTTGAGTCTTCGACTCGGAGTGATCTCTTTCTTCATGTTTTATAATAATTAAAACTTGATACTATCATTATTTTATATTGTCAAAATATTGTTACTGTAATTTCTTCAAAATTATTTTCATTTCAATTCAATTCTTCATTTCTAGAATCTTAAATTAAAATTCTTTTTTAAAACAATTTTTTTTAAAACCTAATTTTTGAAAAAGTTCTTCTTTGAGAATTTTTAAATCCATTTGTTTACAATTCAATTTTACCTGAACTTTCGGTTATTCTGACATTCTTCAATTAAATAAATTAGAAATTAAAAACTTTAAATAATAAAAAAAAAATTCCATTAAACTTTTTTAAAAAATAAATTCTACAGAATTGTTAATTAAAAGTATAAAAAGTTCAAATTTTTTAAAAGATTTTAATTTGAAACATTTTCAAAATTCAATTATTTCTAAAAATTTAAGCTATATTGCTTTCAATATTCAACAATAATTAATTAAATATTAAATTTTTTCTTACGGTTATTTTGGTTCCGGCTTCTTGATTAATTCTGTGCATATGTTTGCAAAATTCAGGACCATGTCCATCTCTATCGCGATTGTTGTTCGTCACGAATAAAAAGGCGTGAATCATCTCGTGCTGTAAAATAATAAAATTTAGTAAGTAGTACAAACTAAATTTTTTATTAATATTCTACAATTAAAATTCAGTAATTAAAATTCTTATTATTTTGAATTTATATTTATTCTCTTTTATTATTTATTTTTCTATTATTCTCGTTTCTTTTTCGCAAATAAAGAAAATTTATTTCTTATTGGTTTTGTTAGAGAAAAACTCACCAATAAAGTCTCAACGAGATCTTTTCGAGGTCTCAATTTCAGTAAAGGACTACTAAGCGCGATTACACAATATCGACTCCCAGTATTAAAAGTACATGTGCCAGCACATCTGCAAAAAAAATAAATTTCTTTCATATAAAAAGAGTAAAGGAAAAAAATTCTTTCCTTAATAATTGATTATGTAGTTAATTATTTAATTTAAAAAATTTTTGATTCTAAAATTAATAAAAAATTTAAGTTGATTATAAAAAATGTTGTAATTTGCATAATAATAATAATAAATTGAATACAGCGTAATAATTACATATAACAGAAGTAATTTCTGTTGGCAGAATAATAATCAAATGAATAAGTTATAAAAACACACTTACGAGGTCATTCGATGACTCCATTTCACTTCCACAGAGAGTAATTTGTTTGAAAAGAATTTTTTATTGAATTGCACAAACAATGTGTGTATATTGGGCGTTGGATCAATTATTTCCAGCGTATTATCAATCAGTGTTCTTGGTTTATAATTTTCTTTCGAATCCTAAAAGACATTTTTTTTAGAGTTGTAAAAAGTTACTATAATATATCTCACTACTGCAAATTATTCAACGCAGGTTTGTCAGGTATTTAGTAAATAATTCAAAGCGTAAATAATAAACTTAATTAAAATCCTATTTACTCTATTTTTTAAATTGTTTAAATTCAAAAATATTTCAATACAAGAAACAATACTCACATTAGGAAAGGCTGCATTCTCCGTTATTCCCGTAATATCGAAACGATTCATCTGATTGTGAATTTCCCATGCTAAATGTGCATCTTTTGATTTAGAAGACTTTGACATTTTTAATTTTTATCCGACTTTTGTAAATTCGGAAAATATCAAAACAAAACAAAGGAAACAAAACGAAAAACACTTTGCACGCTTTGCGCAATAGTTTTATAGGTTAGAATTCCACTTCCATAATAAAACTCTTATTGGATTTAAACTAGATTTTAATATATTGAACAATTTTTAAGGAAAAATGATAACCACCACGGTAAAGTAAATTTTTAGAAAAAAATATTAATTATTTGTCGAGTATATAGATTAATAAAAAAAACTTACTAAATTATTACATTTTTGACACTATTTGTTTACATTCACATTTAAAAGTCTGCGCATGCGTGACAACCTGACTTTGGCAGGCATGCGCAGAAGGCATGAATTTTGGCAACAGTGCATCAGTGTAACCAACCTAAAAACTTGTTGTTCCACTGTTGTCCACACACCTGTCAACTGCTGTGACTGCTGTCAACAAAAATGTATTTTTATTAACATATTTTTAAAAGAAATTAACGCGAGTGAATGAATATTTCGCAGATTTTTATATTTTATTTAATCTCAAACGTTATTGTTTAATTATAAATAATATTAATTTCAATCATGACTTATTTAAACTCATGGGAAGAATTTGAAAAAGGAGCTGAGAGGTTATATCTTCAAGATCCTTTGAAAGTGAGTTTTTTCTTAATTCTCTCTAAATTATAAATGATAAATGTAATTAAAAATAGTTAAATTATAATAGGCTACTTTGAATTGAAGGTTTAGTTTTATTTTTTAGAATTAAATGAACAAAATCTCATCTTGTCATGAGATGTCAGATGTGCGTGTTACGGTGTCATTTTGTATAAAAAATATATATACTAAATGGAAGCTCATTTTGCATAATTTCGAAAGTAAAAATAATGTTTTACTTTTAAAAAATCAATTATTTATTAGTAAAACTGCTGTTTTCTTGTTAAAAAGTTTAAAAAGTATTGTAAAACGTGCGCTAATTTATCGCTTGTTGACATTTTTCGATTTTTAGGTTATAATCAGAAATTTCTTTTTCTCATTAAGTTTATAATAATTTTACCATTTTTTAGTATTAAAAGTATTTAAAATCACGTTCTTATTTATTTGCATGTTATCATTTTGGTTATTATTGTATATTTCAATTTTTCTTGTGGACAAAATTTCGCTTTCATCATGTTTTTTGCACTTATAAATTATGGATATTAAATTAAAATTAAATCGGAATTAGATTATTTTTAAAAACTAAATGTTTAATAGTTTAGATCTTTTTAATTTACAAATAGTAAAACAATTATCATTGACTATTACTGAATTTGAAACCTTAGGTTACTGAGAATTTAATTAATTATAAGATTAATATTTAATTTAGTTAATTTTGCTAACATTTATAATCGATTTTTTATTTAATAATAAAATAAAATTATTTCTCCAAATTCTAAATAATTTTTTTTGTTTATAGGCCCGTTACACAATGAAATATGATCACAAAAAAGGAGTACTCGTTTTGAAACTTACAGACAACAAAACAGTAAGTTAAAAAAATCTTTTTTTGTTATTAAAAAAAAATTATTTCTTTTGAGATAAAAATAAAATAAATTCTCCTTTTCAGTGTTTGCAATATAAAACGGAAATCGCTCAAGATTTGAAGAAAATGGAGAAATTTATAGGAAATCTCATGCGACACATGGCCTCAAAGGATAATTAGGAAAATGAATTAGGAAAACTTGAAAAAAAAAGTTTTGTTCCATTTTTTTTTAATGTATGCATCGAATGGTGGGATTATAGACATTTATTTTGTTTTTGAGGTATAAAAAGTTTCACTTAATTCTTATACAGTATGTGCAATTACAAAGAACTATTTTTTATTTAAATTTCTCTTCATTCTATTTTGGACGATTTCTTGGTCTTCGTGTAAGAGTTCTGCAACAACAACAACAAAATCAACTTTAAAATAATATTTTTTATTTGCAATTTAATCAATGAAAAAAATACAAAGCAAATTAACTTATAATATAGACGAGAACTATTTTTCATTTTGTATTTTATAATATTGTATATTTTAATATGGATTATTAAAAATACAATAATGCTCAAACTTCAGTTTTATTTTATTCCATTAAAACTCAAAAAATTGTTTAAATATATTAATATATTTATTTAAATAATTTAATAATTCTAAATAAATTAACAGTAAAAATGGAATAATATTTATAAAAATTAAATAAATATTATTCAGAAGAGAAAACTCACGATATTATTGGTTGAAGAACTGCATCCAACGTAACGTCGACAGGAGGATAAGTTTCTTGATTTGAAAGTCTATAACGTCTCTCTGCTTCTAATTGCCTTTGCGTCTGTATCAGAAAAACGATTTTCACTTAAAATTTCCCCTGAAATTTTATTTTTATTCAGTTGTTTGAATATTGTTTTTTACAGTTGTCATATTAAAATTTTAATTTCAGAGAAAAAATATGGAGAAAGAGACAGAGGTTCGAATTTAACAGCGAAATATATAATACAATTGTAAATGGAAAATAAAAGAGAAACTTTTGGCATTAGACTAAAGTGGATGGAAGCTATGTATAATTGTATATTTTAATTTTCAAAGGGAAGAAGCAAGCATCATTTAAAACGATTTCTCATTCTGATGTCGGTGTTTCGATTCTCAAGAAAAGAAATTAAATGCAAAGCGAAAACCCCGTTTTCACCAGAGAAAAAAGTGCTGCCTATTATAGTTGTACTAGCTGAGAGTCTTGACTTTTTTTTACAAACAATTTCATCTCAGATTTGTTACTATTTTCAAAATTTACAATCCATTTTTATACTTGAATTTATATTTTTTATTTTCCTTTAAAGGAAGAGCAAAAAGGAGAAAGTCAGTTTATTGTTTAAACTTTTCAATCAGCAAAATTTTTATGTACTATTTTCAATTTTAATTTTTAATTTTTATTGGAAACTTGAAACTTTTATTGTTTACCTGAAATTTTTACAACTTTGAATTACTTGAAATTTTTACTATTTTCAATTTTCATTCGAAACTTTTACTTTTACTTGAAATTTTTACAAATTTTAATTTTTTATAGGAAACTTGAAATTTTTTCTTTTTACTTGGAATTTTTAGAATTTCTTATTTTTTATTTTGGAATCTTGAAACTTTTACTTTTTTATTTGGAAGTTTTACAACTTTCAATTTGTCATGTTAATTAATTTTTCAGTTTTTCTTGAAAATTTTATTTTTACTTTTCCTTTTAAATTAAATTTTTATTTTTCGTTTTCATTCATTTTTCAATATTTAATAGAAACTTGGAAATTTTACTTTAATTTGAATTTTTTACAATTTTCAATTTTTTATTGAAAACTTAAAACTTTTACTTCTTACTTACAATTTTGTTTAAATTTCCATTTTTACTTCTACTTTTTATTTGAATTTCTTACATTTTTCAATTTTTATTTTTCAATTTTATTCATTTTCCATTTTTTTTATTAGAAACTTTTACTTTAAATTTGTACTATTTTCAATTTTTATTCGAAACTTGAAACTTTTATTTTTACTTGAAATGTTTACTACTTTCAATTTTTTATTGAAAATTTGAAACTTTTACTTTTTACTTACAATTTTGTTTAAATTTCCATTTTTACTTCTGCTTTTTATTTGAATTTCTTACATTTTTGAATTTTTATTTTTGAATTTTATTCATTTTTCAATTTTTTATTAGAAACTTGAAACTTTTACTTTTACTTGAAACTTTTACTATTTCAATTTTTATTCGAAACTTGAAACTTTTATTTTACTTGATATTTTTAGAACTTTTTATTTTTTATTTTGGAAACTTGAAACTTTTACATTTTTAATAGTAAACTATTAAAAATTAAAAACATTTTTCAATTTTTCATTTTAATTCATTTTTCATTTTTTTTTTTTTTTTGAAAACTTGAAACTTTTATTTTTACTTTTTAATTGAAATTTTTCGTTTTCATTCATTTTTCAATATTTAATACAAACTTGGAAATTTTACTTAAACTTGAATTTTTTACTATTTTTAATTTTCTATTGGAAACTTGAAACTTTTAATTTTTACTTGAAATTTTTTCCAATTTCCATTTTTACTTTTACTTTTTAATTGAAATTTTTACATTTTTGAATTTTTATTTTTCAATTTCATTAATTTTAATTTACAGTCATTTTTCAATTTTTTTTCGAAAACTTGGAACTTTTATTTTTACTTTTACTTTTTATTTTAAATTTTCCAATTTCCGTTTTTACTTTTATTTTTTATTTGAAAGGTTTACATTTTTAAATTTTTATTTTTATTCATTTTCAATATTTATTAGAAACTTGAAAATTTTACTTTAACTTGGATTTTTTACATTTTCCAATTTTTATTGGAAACTTGAAACTTTTACTTTTTATTTAAAATTTTTCAATTTTTATTTTTCATTTTCATTCATTTTTCAATTTTTTCGAAAACTAGAAACTTTACTTGAAATAAATTTATTTGAAAATTATTTTTTTTCATAAAACAAATTATACGTCAATTTAATACAAAAAGTAAGAGACCGTAATCAATACAAAATATAATTTTTTGGATATAATAAAATTATTAATTAAAACTTCAAATATTCAATACAAAAATAAATGAAATAAATTTATGTGAAGTGTAAAAATGGATTAATGAAATTTTCACACGTACTTCAATATTGAGAGAATGTAATTTAATTAATAGTCAATTAAATTAATAATTGAATAATTCTAATTATTAGTCAACTAATTTAATAATTGAATAATTTAATTAATCGTCAATTAAATTAATTCGACCAATAATCGATTAATTTAATAATCAATTTCTAAATTTTGGAAAAATCGTGTGAAAATAAATTCTGAGACAATGTCGAAGTTAAAAAAGCAAGCATAAGAAAATACGTACTACACGAATGTGTTTAGTGCTGTCAGCAGAACTCGAGCAACAGCTGGAAAAGTCCTGTGGAGTGCTTTCACCAAGTCCACTGTCCACGTTATTGCCTATTAACAATCTGCTGTTATGAGTACTATCAAAGTCCCTCCCTGCATTGTACTCGTTCCTAGTATCAGGATACTTTGATAAAACTCGATTTGGTCTTGATTGGGTGGTGGAAAAGTTATAACTTCCCTCACGACTATGATGAACCACTCGCCGTTCTCTTTTCCCAATGGATCCCATTGTTCTGAAAGTGAATCCTTGACTGTCTAACATTCCGATACTTGAAATCATTTTTTTCGTTCTTCAAAAAAAAAAAAAATCCCCCGATTTTATCAAAAAGGAAAAAAAAACTTCAACGCTACTTCCACACAGATCAGAGTTGGACTATGAAGCTCAAAAATTTTTCTTTTCGTTCAAGATTTTTTTTTATTTTTACAATTATTTTTAATTCGGGTTCGTTTTCAAATAAAAAATCATGAAATTAATTTTATATTGAATTTTTAATAAAATTCTATTAATATTTGGAATGAATGAATTTTTTAGAATCATTGTACAATAAAAAATTTACTTTATAATTATTCAAAACAAATTTATTTTGCAATTTGATGACTAAATTCAAGAATTAAGATTAAAATTTTTTTTAATTTAACTTTTTCGTTTGTTAGTCACAGAATTTTTTATACAATTAAATTTTATCAATTGTGTGAAAAAATTGTGAATTTTACATATATTTGTTGAATTTTGAAAAACAAAAATTTTTCCATTCAATAATTGTCCAGCTCTGCCTGGAATTCACAAAAAGAATTTTAAAACAAAATTAACAACAAACAATTATTATCTTTGACACGCATGAATCTTAAAATTGGGATTTAAAGTTAAACAATAACATAAGTCCACAAAAAAACATTTAATGGGCGAAAATCAAAAGCAGAATGTTAAATTTCCTCTTCTTATTTCTAATAATCGGAGAGATTTTTTTACCAATAAAAAACAATTGAAGAATATGAATAAATTGAAATCATAGAAAATCAAGAAAAAGAAAGGAAAACAATTTTCATTAAGTTTAGTTCTTCTGACGGAAAATTAAAATAAAATATTTTCTATTCTCCAAATAAGTTTATGGCGAAAAAAATAAACAAAAAAATAGAAAAATGGGAAAGTCACGTTCTAGCTGACTTTGATTTTCACCCTTTTTATTATAATATATAAAAAAGACGTGCGTGCTTCGAGATACAACCCCCGGATTTTTCCGAACGTACAAAAAAAGTTGACCGTGGAGTAGCAAAAGCAAATACACATATATATATATATGTATAATAACGTGGGGGTGCTTCCAACAAATGCCAGCCAGGAAATAAATAAAGTGCAACAAGCCGTTAATAAACACTGATTTATTTTAAGGAACCATATTCATGCTTTTCTTTCGAATAATAAATAATAAAAAATGCGCATGCTTAATATGTAAAATAACTAAAAAAACGTCCATGCTCGTAATAAATAAAAAGATAAAAAAAATAGAAGGAAAAAAAACAAACAAAAAATAAAACAGTGACACATGCAAAAAAAGGACCGTTCAAACAATGACTACGGATTCTGTTTCATCCTCCAAATGTGGAGGATGATTGTAGAGGTTGAAGGCCGCCCTGAGATCATCGTACCTAGGCGCCGATGTATCGACAATATTATCCAATCGATTGCTAGATTGAAGTATATTTTGCTGTATCCCTTGAGATTGTACCACAGTATATGAAATTTCACGACGCTGTTGTTCACTCATTCCTGTAGTGTCGACTAGACTGAACTCCAAGTGTCTGCAAAAAATTGTCATTCGCCATTTTCCAAAAAAAAAATCTCCCTCTAACACCATAAAGGACATTAGGACCAAAAAAAAATGAGAAATCAAGAAATAAAATATTCTAGTCTCTTTTTTTCTTTATCATAAAAATTCGTGCACTTTACGTGAATTTCTACATTTTACGAGATTAAATTCTTGTTCATATATTACTAATTTATTGAACGATTCTAATTTAACAATTTTTCTTGGCTTGAAAAATGAAAGAAAAAAATTATACCCAGGGTTGCCACGCAACCTGGAAAACCTGGAAAAGTCAGGGAATTTTTATCGAAATCCTGGAAAATTTATCTAATTTTACATAAATATTCCAAAATTAATTGAATTTTAAAAGAGTTACGTTTACAATTTTCATAAGTATATAGATGAATTTCAAAAGATTTTAATTTGAAATATTGTAAAATTTCAATTTTCAATCGTCTTAAAGAACGTAGATTTTTGAGAAATTTTAATTATTCTAATTCTTCTGAAATTAGTTAAATTTTTTAATATATATTTTTAATTGATTATTAAAAATAATGGATTTATAGAAGAATTTTAATTAAAAACACTAAAAGAAATTGAATTTTGAAGTAAAATTATAAATGATTGCAGAAATTCAATTATTTTCAAAAGTAGTAAAATTCTTCTTAGAAATTCAATTATTTCCAACAATTTTAATAAAATTCATGGCGAAATTTCAATTATTTTCAAAAACTTTCCTCAATTCAATGATTTTTAATGAATCTACTACTTTAATAAAATTTACCAAAAGAATTCAATTATTTAAAAAAAAAATTTTTAATTCTACGCAAGCATTTTGAAAAGATTTCAAATTAAAATCTTTGAAAACTATAACTTTTCGTACTTTTTGATTAACAATTCTGTAGAATTCATTTTATAAAAAAGTTTAATTGAATTTTTCTTTAATTCTTCATGTTTTTATTTTCTAATGTATATATTTAATTGAAGAATGTGAGAATAATCAAAATTACGTAAAAATTAATATTGAAAATAATTGAATATTTACAAAGAACTTTATCATTTTTGAAAATAATTGAATATTCTTGGTGAGAATTTTATCAATTTTGAAAATAATTGAATTCATGCGATGAATTTTGTCAAATTTTAAAAATAATTAAATTATTTCGAAGAATTTTATTCATATTTTTGAGAATAATTTATTGAATTCCTGCGAATGATTTTATTATCTATAAAAATAATAACCTTTTTCAAAAATTATTTTAAAAAATTGATTTAAAGAAGAATTTTAGTTTGAAATTCTAGAAATGAAGAATTTAATTGAAATGAAAATTTTAATTTCTGTAAAAAAATAATAATGATTAAATATTCATTTAAAAACAAAGTTATTGGTGTTTTCAAGTAATTTTACAATTAAATAACCCTGTATACCTGTCATTTTTCAAGCATTGCAAAATTCAACGTGTCTCTCTGGTTTTTTAAAAAAATGAAAAATCTAATTTCGTAAATGTTGTGCTGTCTAAAAAATTTTGCCCGTGCTAAACATTAATAATTTGTGCCATTTTTTTGTGTAAGTGCTACTTTTTTTCTGTTTTACACAGAGTGCGAATGTTTAAATGAAATCGAATTCTAAATATTACCTGATTATTAAGAAAAAAAAATAACAAAATTTCGATTTCTTTTTCTACAATATAACTACAAAAACACAAGTTTACAAAACAAAACAAACTGAAATCGAATTCTAATTGTACCTATAATTATTTTAGAAAAATAAATAAACGTTTCGATTTCTTTTTCTACATTATCTACAAAACACAATTTTACAAAAAAAAAAACGGTTATTTACAGTGTTGGTAATTTGTTTTCGTTTCAAATAGTTCTCTCTATACTTACTTTCTAAGTTCGTCAGGTAGGGTTTGCTTTTGAGAAGGACTCCTGTGTCTACTTCTGTGCCTCCTTCTTGGCTCGGTATGACTCACCTGTTAAAATTTTTGACGGGGAAAATTAATAATATATTCTAAAAAAAAATTTACATTAGTTTAGAATTTATATTTAAAAAGGAAACTTACAACTGCTCTTTGAACACTATCATTTTTTCGTCTTTGAACTTCTCTCCATTGAGGTTCAGAGTCTATTAATTCGTGTCTAGAAAAATGAAATTATATTTTTCTGTAGTCATTAGTAATAATACAATTTTTCATAAATACAATTATTCAAAAGATCAAGTAAATATTTACATAAAAAAATTACTATAAAATTAAATTATTTTTCAATTTAATTCAATTTTAAATTCCTGTCTTCAATTAATTGCTAATTTAATTCACGCTGGTCACAAAGTTTAAGGTCTTTTTTTTATTTTTTCCCGACTGAAAAGTTTTTCTAAATATTTAAATTGTCGCTACAAAAGTTTTTGTACAGATTAACTAAATAGTTCCGTTCAATAAAAACTGGATAAATTTTTTCTCTCTTTTAAATTAAATTTGATACTAAATAGAATTAAATATAAAAATTATTTATTTATATCTTATTTAGATTTTAATTTTAATTCATTGAAATAGAAATTTCTCTCTATTAATAATTTAATTCGAGGGAAATAATTAAGTAATTTAAATTTGTTAGAAATTGAAATTAGAATTTATCGATATTACCTAGAATTTCGAGAGCTTCTGTGCTTCCGTCGATGTTTCCGGTGATTAGATCTGGATTCAGATCCCCGGGACATTTCGGATTCACAATCGGAATGTCGACTGTGTCTTCGATGACTATGACTATGACTTCTCCTCCTGTGACCACCGCGATTATGACTATCCCCTGAACTTTGACTCTCCACCGAGCTGCTCCTTCTCTGGAGTCTGCTCAGGAGCTACAAAAGGAAAAATAGTAATAAATTATAAATTTCTCTTTAATAAAACTATTTTTTTTTATAAAATTTCAATTTTTAATGAATTTAATTCGAAATTTCAAAGAACTTTGATTATTGCAAAAATTTTAATAATTCAAATTCTTCTGAAATTAGTTAATCTTTTTAAATAAATATTTAATTAATTAAAAACACTAAAAAAGAAAATTGACATTTTGCAGAAGTTGCAAATGATTGCAGAAGTTCAATTATTTTAAAAAGTGATAAAATTCTTCGCAGAAATTCAATTATGAAATAATTGTTGTCAAAATTTCAATTATCTTTATAAATAATGAAATTCTAATACAAAATTCATCTATTTTCAAAAATTTATTAAAATTTTCCTCAGAAATTCAATTATGATAAAAAATTGAACGACTTTCTTGTCAAAATTTCAATTATTTTTACTAAATTTTAATAAAATTCTTGGCAACAAGACAATTATGTTCAAACATTTAAAGAAATTATCGTCAACATTTCAATTAAATTTATTTATAATAAAATTCTTCTCCAAAATTCAATTATGTTCAAATATTTCAAGAAATTAACGTCAAAATTTCAATTAAATTTATTTATAATAAAATTCATCTTCAAAATTCAATTATTTTCAAAAACTTTAATAAAATTCTTGACAAAAATTCAATTATGTTCAAAAATTTAAAAAAATTATAGTCAAAATTTCAATTAAATTTATTTATAATCAAATTCTTCTCCAAAATTCATTTTTTTCAAAAACTTTAATAGAATTCTGGAAAAAATTTCAATTATCTTTATAATAATTAAATTCTTTATCCAACATTCAATTATTATCAAAGATTTTAATAAAATTCTTAGCAAAAATTCAATTATGATAAAAAATTTAAAGAAATTCTCGGAAAAAATTTCAATTAAGTATTTTCAATAATGGTAAAATTCTTCACAGAAATTCAAATTCACAGGATTTCAATTATTTGTAATCAATTAACAATTTAAACAATTTTAATCTAATTTCTTCAAAAATTCTCAAAAATTTTATTAAAATTCGTCGAAAGAATTCAATTATTTATTTTTATATTTAAATAATTAAATTTTCCCTAGAATTTTTCAATAAAAATTGATTTAAAACTGAATTTTAGTTAAAATATTATATAATTAAATTCTAAAAGAATTATAGCACGAATGTTTAGAAATAATTGAATTTTGAAAAGGTTAAAATTCAAATCTTTGAAAATCTAAATTTTTCATACTTTTAACTAACAATTCTGTAGAATTAATTTTTTTGAAAAAGTTTAATTGAATTTTTTTCGTAATTATTTAAAATTTTTATTTTCTAATATATATTTAATTGAAGAATTTGCGAATAATCAAAATTTCGTAAGATTGAATAGTAAACAAATAGATTTGAAAATTTTCAAAGAACTTTTTCAAAAATTACTAAAAATAAGTGATTTAAAGAAGAATTTTTCTTTAAAATTCTGGAAAATTAAAAATGAATTAAAGAAAATAATTTGTAAATAAATGTAATGGAACATTTTTTTGAGTATCTAATCATTTTTAAAGTGAATAAGAATATTCCTTAGGGAAAAAGTAAAAATTTTCTCTGAAGATCAGGGAAAAGTCAGTGAAAAACCAAATTAAATTTTTGTGTGGCAACTCTGAAATAATATCTATAATTAAAAAAATTAAAAAAAAGAAACTCACAGCTGGAGCCGTTCCTGTAGAACGAACGGATCGAGGACTAGACGATGTGTAGAGACCACGTGGTTGACTTTGCATCCACGGTGCGCTTCTTGTACTTCTTGGACTTGAATTAACGTGTCTCGAATTATGAACATTATGAACGTGCTGAATACCATGAACATTATGTAGACTATGAATATTACTGCACATTGTATTATTGGTTATTATTCCTGGACTTGAATTAATTGGCGGCGCTTCAATATAAGGACTGACCATTTCTTGACCCTCGACAACACGCCGTTGAGCACGTCGACTTGGTGTCCTTTGAAATGGCGGTGGATTTCTTCTAATTGCCAAATGCTTTTCCGAACCCGACGGCGGACTGTAAGAGCGAAAACGTGAATATGGACTCAAAGGCGGTTGACCCGTGGCCATAAGTCTAAAGAAAGCTTGATGCTCCTGACAACATTTCCAAAGATGTCTGCAAGCTCCTTTTGACGGCGTCTCAAAACCGTGTGTTCTTTCCTCCGAATTTTTTTCACACACACGTAGCATGAAATATTTTCCCTGCAATTCAATTTTCAAATGAAAAACCAAAATTAGTAAAAGAAAAATTATTTTTATTATTATTATTTATATTATTAAATTATTATTATTACTCTATTCTATATTTTAATTATAACTATTAATTAATTAAATATGAAATAATTTTAATATACTTTTTTGGTCTTATAATCTTGATTCCTTTTTCTTGCTGTCTTTTTCTCCATAATCTTAAAATTTTAAAAAGTAATTCATTTTTTAACGAAACTTGTTTATAATTATGTGCAAAAATTTGAGTTTTAATATATACTAGACAGGAGCGATATAAATATGTATGTAGAGACTCTTCAAAATTTGAGAATGTTTTTTTCTTCTTAATTTTTTTTTACTTATAATTAGTTGTAAAATGATGCGCAAGCAATTTGACGTTACTTTTAACGATCTAACGTATCCAGTTACAAGTTCTTAGCAGTGGGAGTTCAGAGTTTCAAAAGGCAAGAGACCATTGGGGAGCAAAATTTCCTTCCGAAACTTGAAACAGGATCTTGGATTTACTTCCCGGAACTTGAATATCAAATGGTTATTCCGCACACGAATCGGTTATAAATTCTATTTTATGTAATATTCACAATCTCGAGGATTTCTTTAATATAATATTAAAAAAGGAAAGCTTTTAGGAATAAATAAAAAGGAATAATGGACAAAAAGAATAATAAATAGAAATAATCTTCTAAGTGAGCAAAAAAAGTTTTCTACAATCGAATTTTTGGGAACATTTTCTTTTTCAATAAATAAGAAAGTTATTATTTGAAGCAGAATATTTTTTTGCAATTAACTAATTATGTTTATTTAAAAACCCGTTTATGTTCAAATAAATAAAATAAATAGGTAACTAATCAATTCGATTTTATTACTTTCAAAAAATTTAATAAAATTCTTAGCAGAATTTCAATTATTTTCAAGAATTGTAATAAAATTCTCAACAGGAATTTAATAATTTTTAATAAAATTTAAACAAAATTTCTATAAAGATGTCAATTGTGTTTCTTATTTATAAAAATATTAATAAAATTCTTCGAGAGAATTCAATTATTTTCAAAGATTTAAATAAAATTCCTGACAAAAAATCAATTATGTTCAAAACTAATAAAATTCTTCGCTAGAATTCAATTATTTTTATAAACAATAAAATTTTTTGTCAGAAATTCAATTATTTTCACAAATTTAATAAAATTCTTCAAGAAAATTCAATTATTTTTAAAGATTTTAATAAAATTCTAAAAACAATTCAATTATTTTCAAAACTTATAAAATTCTACGAAAGAATTCAATAATATTTTCAAAGATTTTAATAAAATTCAGAATTGAATTATTTTTTTATAAAATTTAAAAGTAAAGAAAAAATTTAATTGTTTTTACAGATTTTAATAAAATTTTTTGTCATTAATTCAATTATTTTCCCAAATTTAATAAAATTCTTCGAGAAAATTCAATTATTTTCAAAGATTTTAATAAAATTCTGAATTCAATTATTTTTTATAAAATTTAAGTAAAGAAAGAATTCAATTATTTTTTACAGATTTTAATAAAATTCTTTGGCAGAAATTTGCAAAAATTTTAATAAAATTCTTTCAAATAACTCAAAACATTTAAAAATTTTTAATAAAATTTGTCGAGGAACAATTCCTTCTTAGGAATGCAATTATTTTCGAAAATTTTAACAAAAATCTTCCAAATAATTCAATTATTATCGTAAATAATAAATTTTGTTTGCATGAATTCAATAATTTAAAAAAATTTCAGTAATAATCTTCAAAAGAATTCAATTGTTTTCAAAAATTTTTTATAAAATTTAGAAATTAAATTATGATTTTTAATTCGAAACAATTTTTGTTTAATTAATTTTTGTTATTATTCAATCTTCAAAACATTAAATTTGAATTTTTTTTGCTAAATTCCAAAATGTTTGAGAAGAAAAATACAAAAAAATGTATGTCACATGAAAGCAAACAAAAACATTTAATTACATGAAAAATAAAAATGATAGTAATTTGTAAAATAATTGGAATAATTTCTAATAATTTAGAATTTATAGTGACATAAAAATAATTTACAAAATCTGTCATTTGGCAATAATAAAAATAAATGAAAGCAATAAAAAATGAATTTGTCATAATAAAAATTTGTTGAGAAATGAAAATTCTGTTAATTTGTCAAAAAAAAAAAATGACCAAAATGAACAAATGAGGGAAAGAAAAAATTATAAGAAAAGAATTCAGTAAAAATTGCAAATTCAAGAATGTCAACAAAAAAATAATAAACGAATCAAAACAAACGAATAAAAAAAGAGAATAAATTAGAGAAAACAAAATTTGTCGAAATAAAAATTTGTTAAAATCTGAAATTCGTCAATAAAAAAATAATAAATAAATTAAATAGAAGCGAACCTTGTAGTAAATTTTGTTGATTCGGGGCCAGTAGTAATTTCCCACTTTGGTTTTATTGCGTAATAATATTATACCACTTGGAGTGAGACCCAAAAAGTACTCAACGTTGTCCTCACCCTGAGAAGAAAAAAAAGAAAAAGCGATTTTTAATTCGTATTGGTTTTCTCTCTCTCTCTCTCTCTCTCTCTTTTTGATGTATCGAGAATGTAATGAGACAAGAGTCAAACTCCTTATAACGAGTTTGGCACGTACCAAAACTGGATGTAAGTCGACACCGTACATTTCGAGCCATTTTACTTTATCTAAGTAATTAAGCTCTGCCGCCGATGGTAACTGCCCTCTGGAAAATGAACGATATTATTAAACACTTAAATTTAAAGTCAATTTACCTTAATTTAAATTTATCCACCAAATATTACCATCCTTTTATTCTCGTAATTAATATAATAATTTATAATAATATTCCTAATAAATTTCAACATTCTTTTTATTTTCAATTATAACCTTCTCAATTGTTTTAATGGAAAATAAATTATTTTATTCGCTATTTATTAATTAAATTACTTTCGCTTGTTGAATTCAATTTTGGAAATTAAAATACTTGAATATTAATTTTTTCATCAAAATTATATTAATGGGAAAAAAAATTGGGAAAAATTTTGCAAATATTGAATTTAAAATTTACTTTCAGTGAGATGAGATGATTCTTGTAATAAAAGACTAAATTACTTTGCTCTTAATTATCAAAGTTAAATAGAAGGAGGGAATTAAATTAAAAGTGAAAACTTACACTAAAGTCTTGTGTAGTTCGACTATTCTTGTTTCAAGTTCAGAAGTCTGATTCGCCAGGAATCGAAATTCGGTCACGTAGCCAATTGAATGCCTCCTGGGATCGTAATCTCCAAGCTCAGCTAAAATCAAAATTCCAAAATTATAATATTTCTCTCGGCAAAAATATGCAGAGAAATTCCTCTTGAATTAAAAAATGTTTCTTTGAATTTTTTTTTCTCGAATTTTTTTTCGACGAAAATAAAAAAACAGTTTGTTTCAAAATTAATGGAAATTTTTAATATATAAATAAGTTTTAAATATATTCGTCAAAATTGCAAAATTTCTCTGAATAAAAAAATGTTTCTCTGAATTTTTCTTTTTTTCCTCGAAAAGAGAAATACTTTGCTTCTAAATAAATTTTAGAATTAATAATAATTAATAACTAGCAACAATTCGCGCGTGGCTGACTTCTCGCTCGCTTTTTTTAAATAAAATTATCAATTTTAAAAATAATAGAACGTAAAACTTTTTAATTCAAATTTTTTTTTATAAAAATAAAATATGAATTGGAATATATAGTTTTAATATTATTATAATTATAATAATCATATATTCTGACAAAGGGAATTCAGGGAAGAGTCAGGAATTTTTATTAAAAGTACTGCAAAAAATTGAATTTTTAGAATTTTTAAGAAAATTATGAATTATGATGTTTTTTTTCTTTGCCTCGTAAACTATGAAATTACCACGAATTCTAATACAAAACTTTCAATTTTTTCAATTTATGACAAAAATTTCTTTTTAAATAACTTAAATCTTGAACAACTATCATAAAATAAATAAATTATTTAATGAATAATTTTTTCTAAATATTTCAAAATTAATTCAATTTTTAAAGAGTTGCGTTTAAAATTTTCATAAATAAATGAACTTCAAACGGTTTCAATTTGAAATTTTATAAAATTTCAATGTTAAATAAATTTTTTAATTTTAATTGATTTAATTTTAATGAAATTAGATTTTTGAAAAATTTTAATAATTCAAAAACTTCTAAAATTAGTTAAATTTGTCAATATATAGGATTTAATTAATTATTTAAAAAAAAATGGATTTATAGAAGAATTTTAGTTATAAACACTAAAAAGATTGAATTTTGATTTCAATTATGTTCAAAATTTACAAACAAATATCGACAAAATCCCAATTATTATCTTTATAAATAAAAAATTCTTCAAAATTCAATTTCTTTCAAAAATTTTAATGAAATTCTTGTCAAAGTTTCACTTATTTTCCAAAAATTTCCTATTTTAATAAAATTACTCAAAAAAATTCAATTATTTAAAAATAATTTTAATAAAATTGTACGAAAACATTTAATTATTTTCATAAATAATAAAAATTTCACAGAACTTAATTTATTTACAATTTTTTGTGAGTTTTCTCTCAATTATTTTCAGAAATAATAAAACTCATCGCAGAATTAATTTCAATTATTTTTAATACAATTTTAATCGAATTCCTTGAAAAATGTAACTATATTCTAAAATTTTTTTTTAAAGTTCGTCAAAAGAATTCAATTATTTAAAAATTTGTTAATAAATTTTCTTTTTTAGAATTCAATAAATAATTTACTTTCATATTTAAATAATTGAATTTTCGTAGAATTTTCTAATAAAATTTGATTTCAAAAAAAAACTTTAGTTTAAATTTTAGATAATAATAAAATATGAAAATAATTAAAAATTAAAAAAAAATTTTGATAAAATTCTATGCAAACAATTTCATATTCCAAATTTCATAGGAATTCATTTATTTACAATTTTTTCTTATAAATTTCTTCGCAATAATTCAATTATTTTATTTCTAATTCTAATTATATTCTTCGCAGAAATTTAATTATGTTAAAAAATTTTTTTTAAATTCCCATCAAAATTTCAATTATTTTTATAAATAATGAAATTCTTCTCGAAAATTCAATTATTTTCAAAGATTTTAACAAAATTTTGTAAAACAATTCAATTATTTTCAAAATTAATAAAGTTCTTCTCTAGAATTCAATTATTTTTAAAGATTTTGTTAAAATACTTTCGTAGAAATTCAATTATTTTCCCAGGTTTTAATTCTTTGAAAGAATTTAATCATTTTTAAAATTTTTAATACAATTCTTCCAAATAATTCAAAACATTTAAAAAAATTATAATAAAATTTATGGAATGAATTAAATTATTTTTAAAGATTTTAATAAAATTCTTCGCAGAAATTCAATTATTTTTATAAATAATAAAATTCTTCGCAGGAATTCAATTATTTTTAATAAAATTTAAGTGAAGAAAGAATTTAATTATTTAAAAATTTGTTAATAAAATTCCTTATAAGTATTAAATTTTAAGAAACATTCAATTATTCAATAAATAATTTACTTTTATATTTAAATAATTGAATTCTCGTAGAATTTTCTAATAAAATTTGATTAGAAAATGAACTTTAGTTTAAATTTTACATAATTAGAATATGAAAATAATTTTTAAGAAGCCACAGTAACAATATTCTTATAAAAAATAATTATTTTAACACTCGATTCTCTTTAATTATTATAAAACATGAAGAAATTGATCACTCCGAGTCGTAGACTCGGAGTAATCGTTTTCTTTATGTTTTATAACAATATTTTTAAAGTTGATTAATTTCAAATAATAATTAATAATTAATTAATTTGAATCGTATTTATTCGAAAAAGTAAAGTGTTCGTATAGAGTAAAAGAAATTTCATTAACTTTGTCAGGAAAAATGGTATGTAAAATAATTTTTTTTTTAAATCCTTTTTTTTCTACTTTAGAAAGAAAAAGTATATTATTCAAGTGAATAGTTAATCAAGAAGTTTCTGCGTTAGAGAATTAATTTATCGAAACGCTAATTAATCAATCTAGAATTGAATGAAAGCGAGGATTTTAATTTTCAATGTTCCCATCTTTTTATTTGTAGAAAACATATAATTAAATAGCTCGTCTCTTAATTCTGTTATTGGCCACATTACCACGAGATAAAATTGATACGCATGATCGGGCAAGTGAATAAAAACACTTAATTTCCATTAGGATTTCGATCATGCAAGACCATTGGACTCAAAAGAAACGAATATAATACATATGTTCTGTCTTGATTAAGTACATCATGTAATGTGTAATAAGTGGCAAATGAGGCTTGCCAGCAACGAAAGGAAAAAGAAAAAAAAACACAACTGTGTGTCTCTAATTGAAACCAGATTTTTCACTCCCGACACATTTTTTCTCCTTACGCAATCAGTCTTCTTTTTCACCCTTTGAAAAAAATTCTATTACAAATTTACTTGAGAATTATTTCCAAATAATTTGTTTTGATTTCGAGAAAAAAAGGAAAGAAAATAATTTAATAAATTTTGCGAGTAAATTCTCTATTGAAACGATGAAATGACACGGTTGTTAATTTTTTTTCTCCCTCTCGATTTTTTTTTCTTTTTTGTACTTTCTGGCAAACGAGGTGTAAATGAGAAAAGTCCCGGGTGATAATCAGCCGATTCGTGCATACGATTTTACTTGATCGAAACCCCCCGTTCTGTAATTACACGAGTGAGTGAGCTTACAAGACGACGTGGTGATTTTGCGGTCCCTTCCCATTAAAAACGACGAGAGAAAATAAAGTATACCTCGCGCAGGTCGAAGCCGATATTCATCAAAGTCAGTGATTCAATTAACGAACTATAGGAGGATGATTTCCAAAGGGATAGGTAGTACCTACACCTATATAGATATATATGTATATATATTCTTTAGCAGAGAGGATAATCAGTGTCCGGAGGTTGCGAACCGCGAAGCAAAATTCCGCACAAGGAATGCGACGCGTGAACATCAGCATGGATCTCGTTAAACATCCCGCACTAATTTACTTCGCATTAATTAAAACCCCTTATTTATATGTATATATACGTGACAGTGACCACGTGGCCCGAAATTATCAATTGTCAATTTATTTTCAATAATGCGAAATCTCCATTCTGCACCTGTTTGGAATTTTTAATTTTTTCCTTTTTACTAGTTATTATTATTATGCAAATTACAAATTTTATTTTTAAATATAAACTACAATTTTTTCATAATTCCAGATTTAAAATAATGAAAATTCGCATATTAAGTACATAATAAATTATTATTTTCTAAAATTTTAATAAATCCTTCAAAACAATTTTTATTTTTATAAGTAGTAAAATTCTTCGCAAGAATTCAATTATTTTTATAATTAATAAAATTCTTCTCAGAAATTCAATTATTTGCAATACAATTTCAATTAAAAAATTTCAATTTTTTAAAGATTTTATTAAAATACTTTCGTAGAAATTCAATTTTTATTTTCCCAGGTTTTAATTCTTCGAAAGAATTTAATAATTTTTAAAACCTTTAATAAAATTCTTCCAAATAATTCAAAACATTAAAAAAAAATTATAATAAAATTTATCGAATGAATTCAATGATTTTTGTAAATAATAAAATTCTTCGTAGAAATTAAATTATTTTTAAAGAGTTCAATAAAATTCTTTGTCAGAAATTCAATTATTTTCAATAAAATTTTAAGTAAAAAAAGAATTTAATTATTTTTATAGACTTTAATAAAATTCTTTGGCAGAAATTCAATTATTTTCCCAAATTTAATAAAATTCTTCAAAAAAATTCAATTATTTTCAAAGATGTTAATAAAATTCTTGGAAAACAATTCAATTATTTTCTAAAATAATAAAATTCCTAACTGGAATTTAATTATTTTTATAAACAATAAAATTCTTCACAGGAATTCAATTATTTTTTTATAAAATTTAAGTAAAAAAAGAATTCAATTATTTTTATAGACTTGAATAAAATTCTTTGGCAGAAATTCAATTATTTTTCCAAATTTAATAAAATTCTTCGAGAAAATTCAATTATTTTCAAAACTTATAAAATTCTACGAGAGAATTCAATTATTTATTTATTTTTAAAGATTTTAATAAAATTCTGAATTCAATTATTTTTTATAAAATTTAAGTAAAGCAAGAATTCTTTCTTCGCAAAAAAAATTAATAATTTTTAAAGATTTTAATAAAATGCATTGTCAGAAATTCAATTATTTTCAA